CTATGATCCCATGGCTTATGTGCTTAATGTGTTTAATTTAGGTATTTCACTCTTCGAGCAACAGACTATCTTTTCACTGCATTTGTAAAGCACCCACCTTATTACACCTCTTGCACTTGCTGGAGCTTATAGCTAGAAATTTGGTTGAAAAGGGATAATGAAAAAATTATCCTACCAAAAGCAGCTGCTACTTTAGCAGTGACACTGCAGCAGCCCCCAGGGAAAGAGGTGTTCAGAGGTGCTTAGAGTCACTATAGCAGCAAACTCCCAAAGGCTCTTGTGCAAAAGGAAAGGAAAGGAAGGATATGGTCCTCAAACAGTTCCAGTGTTACAGGAGTAAACAAGCCACCTGACAGGTACAGCTGAATCACTTAATGGTAGAAGCCACCTCAGGGAAATTGGACTGCTGTCATCATCCCCTCAGCTTCAGGCAAATCCTGGGACTCCTAAAGAAACACCTGGAAAATGAGTGACCCAAGAAGGGCACTAGCCCATTATTGGGGGTAATTGATTGGAGAATTACAAGGGTATTTTGGCAGACAAATACCATCCTGCTGTAATACCGACATTCCTGACAAGAAGGCCAGCTTTCAGTGCCAGAATTATTTGTACCTCTGGTGTCAGAGAGACTCCTTTGCATCTGAACCCCCGCGGAGACCATAAATGCTCCCATTCCCATTCTTCAGCAGAATGATGTACTGGGAAAAGTGAGTTCTGTTCTGCACCATGTTATGGCACAGCACAGCCAGGGTGGGTGCACTGCAGAGTGTGGACAGAGCCCTTATCACATTTCTCAGACCCTTAGAACAAGAATTGACTGGTTTGGTGCAGTTGATGCTCATTCTTCATCTGCTGTGTCACATTCCCTTCACTGCCTAGGCTGCCCCAAGTTACAATATCTAATTCTCACAATTGTGCACTTGGGCTTTTGTCTGCTCTACCTCAGGGGCAAAGTTTGGGATTAATTATATTGAGGTGCCCTTGACCCCTGGAATGGATGTCACCCTAATGAAGGTGTAAACCTCATTCTGTGCTGGAGCTGTTTTCTTCACAATTAGTATATTTCAATGGCTCTTTGTAGTAAGCATCATCATATTATTTCTCATGGCATATGTTGATGGGTTTTCCAAGGCATTCAGTGTTGAGGGAAAAGTGGCAAAGTCATCTGAGCCTATAAATTCAGTTTGATCATCCTTCCATATAGAAGGCAGATGGATGGCATTTCACTGCTGCCATGAATTTGCTGTCTTCCTTGCTGACCTGCTGTTCTGTTTTAATCCCTGCAGCCTTCATGGTGATCTCCATCTTCAAAATCTTTCCTAATAAGGGCTCTTGTGGATAGCTATTGGATTTTTTCAGAGATGACAGAAATAAATAGAAATTACTTGGCAGAAATATCTAGCCCTGAGATATCATCACTGTTTTCACATTCCTCTGCAGAAACAAATCCATCAGACACAGGTAGCATCCTCATCCCTCTGCCATTTGAAAGGAGATAATGAGAATATCCTCTGTGTAAGAGAACAACCTACAAAATGCTGAGAATAATCTTCTGACTCATGTTCAGCTGGAGCCACCCTCAGACTTTTCATTATGCAGTCTCACAGAAACACTGATAATTTGCTTTCTTGAAAAGCCCAATCCATACATCATGTTTTGTTTCTCTATGTATTGCCATTTTTAAACCACATTTTCCAAGAAAATGAGGTGGCTGCTTTCTTGTCCATCTCTGCAGATTGGCCTGTCTGTCTGGTTTAGTGGAAGGTGTCCCTGCCATGGCAGGAGGGTTGCAATGAGATGATCTTTAAGGTCCCCTCCAACACAAACCATTCTATCATCTTATAATTCTATCTTCCAGTTACTGGGCATTTTTACAGCCCATTTTTTAAGTGATTTGGGGTGTGAGGCTGAGAGGGGTATCACAGTATGGAGAAGTTCTAGGAATCCAACTGAGTTGAAGAGAAGGTGCAGCAGTGGGTATTTATAGAATGTCAGATAGAGATCTTCAGATAATTGAGCTATGAGAACACAAAGGCTCAATGACCAAGATCTTAGATTACTTCTGTCTCTGAAACCTCATAACAAAACTGTTTTGTTGTCTGTAAATAACAACCTTTCTGGAATTGAATGTTTTCTGCATTATTGCACTTCACCACTGCTCCTGGGAGGGTATAACTGCAATACATCAAATGCACAGCCATTGCAAAGTCCACATTGCTGGCCTTCAAAAGCAGCCTCTCCTGATAGCTCCTGATCTACTGTGCAAGGATTTACCAGCAGGCATCAATTTCTGCAGCTCTGGGTGTGCCTGTGCCCTCCTGTTTGCTATGCGAGACGAGTAAAGCAAATTTATCAGCCTGGGAACTGCTCATCTTTGACCCTCTTTGTGCTTCCAGTGCTCTGAGCTTTCAGGTGACAAGTCTGTCCAGGAAATGGCTATGTAGACACTATTTATATTTGTTCCAAAATGCCTTTAGCCATCATCTGGGATGCCCCTGCCTTTAGCAATATTTTTGGCACCTCTTTAAAGCCTGAAAAGGGAAAGGGGAAAAAAGAACTGCAGTCCTACAATTCCCCATTCTGTAAATATCCCTCACATGCTGGCGTGTCCCTGCTAACCCACTTTGCAAATTACTTATTAAAAGGAGAATCTCCACCTCTCTATCCTCAGGTTTTTTGGGCATCCAAGATTTTCAGCCTGTGGAGAAGGAAAGGGTTTTTCACAGCTGCAGTGGGACAACTCCTAGAACAGGAGGATTTGTGCAACACAGCTATGGATAAACAAGCCCAGAGCAGTGAAAGAGCAGAGAAATTACATTAAGTAAAGGTGAAGTCCTTTCATAAGGCAGCTTGTGAAAAAATCTCCCTTATGCCACCTCTTTTCCTTCAGGATTGCACGTGCTACTCAACAAGGAGCTTTACATCTCCTGTGCTACTTCCATATGATCCTTAGGATTTGGAAGAAGTAGCCCTGCAGGTGTGTGGCAAAGGGTGAGTCAGCTTGTCACCATCTTCCACAAGGGCTATAGCTTTTTGAAATAAAGAGAATCTGGGATGGATTCAGGCATGGAAAAGAGGGATGTCAAAGAAGTGAGTAGCTGAATGTAAGGATATTTTTTAGCCTAGTTACAATAGGTTCAAGTTACCACTCTGTTAAATACCTATTTGGGTATCAACCTTCAGACATTTTTAAACCAAATTTCTTTTTAAGTTGAAGTTTTTGTTAAAATTTGTCCTAAAAGACCAGAGGTGTTAAATAACCTCACCGGGATGCAAATACTGTGAAATTATATTGACATTGCTTCAACTGGCTCTATATAACAGTATTCTGCTGCTTCCTGCACTGCGACAGGGAGTTGCTGAGCTGGGGAGGTGTGGGGTGGAAGCTGGCTGTGAGTCAGGGATCTGTGTGCTGCCAGCAAAGGATTTCAGCAGTGGAACAATCAGGGCTGTTTTGAGAGTACTGGGCATAGCATTTTCCTTCTTCCTCACCTTCCGACTTTGTTGCACGTCATCAAAATCCCCAGAGAGAAAACTGAGTGGAACTTCACTGCTTTCCTCTCCTGTCTGTCTCTGTCTGTTGCCTGAGGCAGATACTCAGAGGTGCCATTGCATCCTGTGATTCTGACTCTCCTCTTTCTTTTCACACTTGGCTCCTGTAAGAGCATTTAGTTTTCTACAGGAAGCAGATTTTATCTTCCTCCCTCTTCTCAGGTCATCTATAATTTTAAAATCTTCCTTGGCATGCTTTTCACTGCCAATCTGTGGTATCTTCCTGCTCCTGCACATCTCTCCCACGCCTCTCAGCAGTGCCATGCAAACACCACCACATCCTGTTCCACCCAAGAGACCAGGCAACTCCAGTCCTTGTCACACAGCCAAACTACTTCTCCTTGTAATTGCAGGAGAGTTGCACACTCCAGCAGTGTCTCAGTTGCATCCTCCAATCTCACACTCTTCTCCATGTGAGGAAGGGATTTTCTGCCTAAAAGTGGAGAACAAGCCGCAGTGAAAATTTCTCCCACGGACAGCTCTGCAAGATGCAGATCTCCTTGCCTTTTTCCCTCCCCACTTCTTGATTAGTTCTGTCTTTGGTTCATCTCCCAGACAGGCCAAAGTTTCTCAGTTTTGATATCCCTGTGCTGTCCTAACCTCCAAATATTCAATCTGCATTACTGTATCCCTCAGCCCTGGCTCCCCGCCAAAACAGTCTTGGGCCTCTGGAGCAGACAGTATGAAAAGTGTCAGCATTTGATTAGAGAACTGAAATAAGAAGTCATAAATATACTTGCTGTCTAAAGCAGGATTGTCAACAACATGACCTGGGATTCAAGCAATCTGTATGCAATTTGATCTCTTTAAACCATATGCCTGAGGATCAGATAGATAACTTTCCTTCTCTGTTGTTCATCTGTTCTTCCAACACTTGCCCCAGAAAAATAATACAAACGGCTTTTCTGCATTTTCTCTGCAAGTTAATAGGAATAAACTACAATGTCCTCCAGAATCCACAGATATGGGGTAAGTTTTGTAGTGGATTATGCAATTGGGTAAATTGGAGATGCTGGACAAGGCACGTCTTGGCAGAACTGGTGAGAAACCTGCTGAGGGTTATTGTTTTTATGTCATTACACTGAAAGGCCTCAGGCAGCACAAGAGATTATGCACTTTTCTCCCTTGACTCACTCCCACCAAGGTATAGTACATGGAGCAGAGACATTTTTCTTATTCTGCTCTTCCAGATTGCTATCACAGGAGCCCTTTCCATATGGCACAACAGCTTCCTCTGATAAGCCATGGCATTAAGACTTGGCTTCTTTCCTACAAACTTGTCCATAATCACCCCACCACAGTGGCACAATCAAGATTCATTTTAAAATCTGAAATGGCAAGGCAAGTTCATCAGAAGAGCCCCTTTTCCTTGGTGAGGAGAGCCAACATTCACCCACCCTGAGGAGTACTGGGTAGGAGGTAAGCACTTGGCTGCCTTGTTTTGGTTCTGTAGGACAAAACAGCTGTTAAAAATGTTCAAAGACGTATATGAGATGGCTTAGTACAGTTTTACTCAGGCAAGGTGCCAGGGCATGTTATGTAAAGTGTTGATCTTTCCTACATTTTAAATTGAATATAGAACAGTTGGGTTCCATCCCTCCTTCCTGGCAACCAGCCCAGCCTTGGGCACTTCCATATAAACTGGGTTTCTCCTGGCTGCCCAAGGTACCAGCAAGACTCAGAGACTGCAGAGATGATGGTGATCTTTTCAGGAATCAAGAGAATGCTCTTCCTTTTGTTCTCTTGCCTCTGTTCTGGCCAGCTTGCATCTCCACTGCTGCGTTTCTCCACCTTCCTGGATCCTTCTAGCATGTTCCACCTCTGCTGGGACCATGAGGAACAGGAGCTGATGGGGTTGAGCTGCACATCCACACTGCCTCATCCACACTGTAGATTCAGCTATCATGGAGAGCTGCCTGGATCTGACATTGTGACAGGAGGTGCTTTCTGAAATGGCAGCATCTGCATCTCTGTAAGTTGAACAGATATCCTCTTCATCCTCCTTTGCCAAGGGTCATGCTCTAAGTATGTTGGAAAAAAGATATACTGAAAGGCTAAGAGGATTGGGAATCTTCAGCCTGGAAAGGCTGAGAAAATTGGGATTGTTCAGCCTGGAGAAGAGGCGGCTTTGGGGTGACCTCATTGTGGCCTTGCAGTGCCTGAAGGGAGCCCACAGGAAAAATGGAGAGAGACTCTTGGCACGGGCCTGGAGTGACAGGACAAGGGGCAATGGCTTCACACTGACAGGGAGCAGGGTTAGATGGATATGAGGAAGAAATTGTTCCCTGGGAGGGTGGTGAGGCCCTGGCACACTTAAATATGTCAGCACAGGATAGGACATCCCTGGGAATTCTTGTTTTTTCCACTGTCAGGCAACCACTAAGTACAGATGTCTGATATTAAAACAGCTGGAGTTTAGAGGGAGAAAAATAAACCACCAAGGCTGCTAAATAAAAACCAGGCTGTTGTTTTGTTTTACTTTAAGTATAAAAGAGAAATGGGCAGCTTTATTTTACCCAGATACAGAAAGAAAGATTTATACCAGTTTGCCAGTTTCAGTGGTTTTGCTTTGCTCAGCTGTTTCTAGTTCCTCTTTCACATAACAGTAAAATATATGTTGCACAAAATATGTCACAATGTTTGTCTAAAAATGGGTAAATTTTGGAGGGAGTGAAGTAGCCAGCCTTCCTTACGGTCATCAGCTGGTTGCAAAGTGATTCTTGTCAAAACCACTTTTTACATCTTTTTTTGATTGTGACCCAGACAGGGACCTTTTGGCTCTGAATTACTGCAGGAAAAACCAGAAGAAACACTTGTTCTTATTTGTTTAGTAATGATTTCTAAAAAGTGATTTGGGGTAAGCCCAAAGCATTTAATTTCTCCTAAAAGAACATCCTGAAAGGAAAAATTGAAATGTTTGATTTCAAAAGTATTAAACATTGCATTATTTTCAGAAAATATATTTAATGTTAACAATTATTTTTCGTCCTTGGTAGCGGAAACTCTTTGTTTATATTAGAAAATAATTTTGGTCCCAAAAACGTTATAGGTTTTTTCAAATCTTACATATTAGAAAATCTTTCAAATCTTATGTATCAGGAAATCTCTCCCAATTATTTTAGGTCTGGATACAGTAAGCAAGCACATTAAATCCAGAAAAATCCACATTTGCTCAGCTGTCATCCACTGAGTACATCCACTGAACCCAAGGAACAGATAGTTTGAGGGAAAGACATCCTAGTTACTGTAAGTGGAATTTAAGTGAGGTTTTCTATTTGAAATATTCCTTCTAAGCCTCTCTCTCTCACATCCTTTGTTTTTGTTTTAATTTTCCTTTTTACTACAACCAAAATAAGTCATTATCTGAGTATTGTCAAGGGGTGAAAAGCCAGCCCAAAGGCTTTCTTTCATAAAGGAGGGTTGTTTTTCCAAATGTTTACTGCATTCTTTGTTCATAATGTATATTTAATTTTAAATATTTCATCTCTTTCAGAATAGCTGATTTGCAAACTACTTATCTTTGAATTTGGATCTTGTAATGAAATCTTTACCAAATCTGTTTTCTTGATGAGGTACAGTGATGCAGTGGACTCAACTGACCCCAGGAGATTCTTCACCTCTGACCTGAGGCTGCACAATGTAAGTATTATACTGGTATGTTTAAAATCTCCCCTTCTTCTGTCTTTCCTGGTCATGGCCACACTGAGTTTGGGATTGCAGAGGCTGAAAGATGGACATGACTCTTCTTGGAAACATGGAAGTAGAGCTGGCAAGAGTAGAAGTGAAGTGGGAGTGTGAGGGGTTATCTGTTAGGAAAATGCGGTCAGATGTTGCCCATACGCTTAGCTAGAGTTTAGGAAACCAAATTCATTAGGTGCTAATGACTTACAGCAGAAGTATTAACACAGACATCTCATTATTAACACAGACATATAGGCCCATTGTCCCATCCATATAGAGACACATTAAAATATCTTTAAATTATTGAAGATATTTACCACTCCCCACCACAGGTTTGTGGGAAATGCACAATACTACAGACAAATAATAAGTATACATTTAAATGCTGAAAAGTGTGGCTAAGTGCTAAGAAATACAATACAAGCTACCCTGTGTGCTATCTCCAGTATTAAGTTATGCAGCATCTCAGTATCACATAAAAGGATTTACAAGGGGACCTGGAGCCCTGTTTTAACTTCCCCCCCATGATATTTGTACCATCCTTGTCAAATGGAGTTCAAAAGCATCAACTCAGTGGGGTATTGCACCTTCCTTCTTCAAACAGCACCGGCCCACACAGTCAGCACTCCCTCAAGATGCAGCACAACCTGCTGATCAGTGTAGGCAATATTCCACAGGAAGGAGGGGCACTATTTTTATGGCAAAATTTGTGGGATTGGTGCTATCATGTGCTTGTCACTCCAGAAAACCAGCAATAAAAACAGAAAAAAGTTGATTGAACTCAATGGATGTTTCCTACACTCAAATTAGCAATGCAACTCCCTAATAGGAAGGAAAAATCTGAATGAAAAAAAAAATTAAGACTTGGTGGAGCTGAAAAGTCACAGAATACTTTGGGTTGCCCAGAGAAGCTGTGGCTGCCCCATCCCTGGCAGTGTCCAAGGCCAGGTGGATGGGGCTCTGAGCAACCTGGGATAGTGGAAGGTGTCCCTGCCCATGCCAGGGGGTTGGAACAAGATGAACTTTAAGATTCTTTCCAACCCATTCCACCTTTGTGGAGATGTGGAATGGCTTCACAACTTTGTTGTGACAGTGGTCCATTTTTTATACTCCTAAACAAACAAGCTGACATAATTTCTAGTTTCATTCCCCCCTTGGATTTCTCCCAAAGCTTGGACAGGGCTCAAGGGGGAACCAAGGGACTTGCCTTTGATTGTATACCCCCCTAATTAGGCCAGATGTGGCCTTATCCAGCTTCTGGATATGGAAAGGTAAACGCATGTTTTGCCAATAAACAAACACATATAACAATAGTTCATTAATGATTGAATTTATATATATAGCATTTGGTTGGAAGATTCATCTAGAGGCAACTTTAGCTCAGGGCCTGTTGTTCAGGCCTCAATCAGGGTCTGTTTTTTAGACCTCAGTACTTCATCCTGTCACAGAATTTCTGGACATGTCTCTCTGTCAGGTCTGAGGGCCACTGCAAACCTTCATTTGAACACAGTACAAACTTCTGAGTCATCAACCACCACAGAAACTGCTTCACTTCCTCTTCTTTCTAGCACACAGTTGGTGTTTGCTTGGCTTTTCTGGGAATGAGGCACAGTATACTGTGGGAACCCAGAGCAAGGGAATATCCCCCTGTTCGAGCTGGGCTTGAACCCACAACCCTGGGAGTATACCAGAACACATCCCTGGCTCTTTGAAGAAGCCTCTGTGGTGTTCCAGATCTGATGGCTCTGAGAGAATATATCCATAACACAAAATTGCCTTTCTGTGGAAGAAATAGGTTCAATCAGAATTGGTATTTATTTTATTAAAAATCACTCAACATTTTCTTATAGTTTGTTCTAAATCAGAAAAACCATGTGTTATATTTCTAGAATGACAGGAATGCACAGAATGGTTTGGGTTGGAAGGGACCTTAAGATCATCTCGTTTCACTTTCTCTGTCATGGGCAGGGACACTTTCCACTATCCCAGGTTGCTCAGAGCCCCATCCAACCTGACCTTGGACACTTCCAGGCATAGGGCAGCCACAGCTGGGGAATCTGTACCAGGTCCTCACCAGCCTCTCAGAGAAGAATTTCTTCCTAATATCCAGTTTAAACCCATTCACTGTCAGTGTGAGGCTGTTTCCTCTTGTCAGGCACTCCAGGTCCCTCTCAAGAGTCTCTCTCCATCTTTCTTGTAGCTCCCTTCAGGCACCAGAAGGCCACAATAAGGTCACCCCAAAGCTTTTGCTCTCCAGACTAAAATATCTCATTCTCTCAGACTTTCTTCATGGCAAAAGTTCTCTAGCTTCTCAACACTTTGTTGGCCTCATCTGGACCCTCTCCAACTGTTCCATGTTGTTCCTGTGCTGGGACTCCAGAGAGAAAAGAGCCTCAGCCTTTTTTTCTCCAAACTGGACAAACCACGGAATTCTCAGCTGCTCCTCACAGGACATTCCTTCCAACACTTTCACCAGCTTTGTTCCCTTACTCTGAGCCTCCATTCAAGGATCTTCACATCCTTCTTAAATTCTAGGGCCCTGGGCTGGTTTCAGCTGGGATAGAGTTAATTTCCTTCATATCAGCTGGTATGGAGTACACTTTGGACTTCTGCTGGAACAGTGCTGAGAACACGGGGATGCTTTAGTTCTTGCTGAGCAGAGATTAAACAGAGTGAGTCCTCTGTTTGTCATCCCATCCCACCACTGAGGGGGCTGGGGGTGCACAAGGAGTTGAGAGGGGACACAGCTGACCCCAACTGCCCAGAGGGATATTACAAACTTAAAAAGCCAAGGGATTGTTTTGTTCAGGCTGCACTATTCCTGGGGCTGCTTTTGCATATTAAGCACCTTTTGGGCTTCCCAAAAGAGACTGGACAAATCCCCTGTTCTGATCCCCATTTTGCCTCCAGAATTCCCTTGTGGGGAAGCAGACAATGTCTGTGAGCTGCACAGAGCCCACAGTGCTCAAGACACAGCAGGGCAAAGTGTTTTGTGGGTGGGTGGGTGAAGCAATGGGAATTCAAGACACTTTCAATGCCAGAACAACTTCCCAATGCAGGTGACCTCAGGGATGCCATTAACATATATTTCCTCATGTCACTGACATAAAACTCTCTGCCATCAAAAGATGAAGCAGAAATAAACTTCTCTTTTCACTAGAAGTTGATGTGTGACCAGAAGAGTCAAGAACTTCCTCCTGAATGTTAGAAAGGGGAGGGACCTCTGAGTTGTTCCCAGCCCAGAGTGCCGCTGTCAGAACAGCCGAGGGAGGAAAGAAGAGAGTGGAACAAAAATGGCAGAAAATGTCCTTTATGCTGACTTGAACTTACCTGAACCAACCAGACCCAGAGTCCTGACGGTCCCTGATGTCCCAGGTAGGTCCAGTGCTGAGCACTGAGCTTTCTTTGCATTCTTCAGTCTCTCTCCCACACACATCTGTTGAGAGAGGTCCTTGGAGCACCAAAGTCCCAAAGAGCACAAGGGAAATATGAGGGCCAGTGCTGGAAACCTGCAGGTGCAGTGTCCAGATAGGGTTGTTTGTATTTACAAAGGCAAGTTGTTGTAATATCTACTTTTATCTTGCTGAGGTGCAAATGTGAGGCTGTGTCTGTGCTGTGATATTAAGAGTCGTTTTTCTCCAGTTTGGAGAGCATTGCAGAGCTGAACATCCATTGCTCCTGCCCCTGGCCTGTTGTCCCCCAGCAGGCTGAGATTCCTGCAGCAAACTGCTCAGGATGGAGTGGCTGCTGGTGCTGGTGCTCCCAGCAGTCTCCTGCAGAGCTGTTCCTGCTTCCTGAGCACAGCAGCACTGCCTGGGGGCTTCTCCTCCTGCTCTGGCTGTCCAGACTGCTTCTTGAATGCACAGGTGGGAAATGGTTTATGGACAGGTTTAGTCTAATTTAGGATTAAGCACTTTACAAAATTCTAACTGAGAATTTATCGTTCTTTAATGAGTTTTAAATGATTGCATATATGTGTGCAGTATCTGCCATGAAATTAGATCTTAAAAATTAGCAGACTTCATAGAGTGTTTCTCTGTATTTCATTTTTCTTTCCTTTCTTTTTATCCCCTGCTTTCACTCTGGCAGAAATTCTTTATTGCCATCTAATTCTTGTCTTTTGCACAAAGTGTGAACCCTCTGCACGTCTTTTCAGATGGGTGGAGTTATTAACACCAGGAAACAGGGTTTTACCATCCCTTTCAACAGATGAATTCAGGGCCTAACTGACCACAGCAGATGCTACCTGATTGCAAGTTCCATATTCCTTAGAATTTAACCCTTGTATTCCTATTCAAAATTTTGATCGATTTCTAGTAACTTTTGGTTGTTTCTCTGCTTGTGCCTTTCTGGAAAGCCCCTACCCACTCTTCTATGTGTTCACTGAATTTATGCACAAGATTTCCCAGATATCATCGCCTTCTTCTGAGAAGAGCTCAAAACTCTGACTTCTATCTTAGCTCTGTACAGAGATAGAACCCAGAGGGCTCAGTGTTGCATATCCCGATGACTTTGAGAGATTTATAACATTGCAACGTCCTATTTTTTACTTTCTACCCACTTTTTATCTCCCTCTGATCTTGCTTTCCTCTCCATATGTTTTCTTCCCTGCTGGTTTGTATTTATTACATGCAGATGATATAATAGAATTCACCACATTATTTTCTCCATGTTACCGTGTTAATTTTGATAAAATCTCAAACCACTCCAAATTTAGCATAATCTGCAATTTTCAGGCTTTGATGTTTTAGTCATTCTCACCATTCCTGTCTGGGTGAACCTCCTTAGGCCACCCTTGGCACATTCCTTCCCTTTTGTCAAGACTGACAATGTGTTTATATGCCCCTGTACCCTCTGGTATTGTCTGCCTTGAAGAGAAACCAGTTTTCTTCCTGCCTCTAGCAAGTGCTGCAAGGGTGAAAGTGTCATCATGGAACATGGAATCAGAATATCCTAAGCTGGAAGGGACCCACAAGGATCATCCAGTCCAACTCCTGGCCCTGCACAGACACCCCAACAATCCCACCCTGTGCATCCCTGAGAGCATTGTCCATATGCTCCTGGAGCTCTGGCAGCCTTGGGGCTGTGACCATTCCCTGGGGAGCCTGTTCAGTGCCCAGCACCCTCTGGGGGAAGAACCTTTCCCTGACATCCAACCTGACCCTGTCCTGACACAGCTCCAGCTGTTCCCTTGGGTCCTCTTCCTGGTCACCACAGAGCTGAGATCAGTGCCTATAATGGAGAAAAATACAATTTGTGCATAGTTAACCACAGTCACATCAACCAGCTGCTGTCCTATGTTCAGCATTTCTCACAATTTCAGTCATTTTTGTTTCATTTAAGTTGATTCTCAGATCTCTTTGTGCTCTGTTCTTGGTCCCAGACTCAAGTTGTACCTATGCAGAAGTGAAAGTGAAATCCCAAGAGACAAATGCTGCAGCAAACTGCAAATCATCAGGTGAGTTTAATTGTCTGCTAAAGTGATGAGAATTCAAACAAGAAGGGGAGAGGGGAGGGGCTGATCCTGATGCCCCAAACATGCAGTGACACAAAACCATGAGGAGGCAGGAGGATACAATTGTCTGCTTTCCACACTCAGAGCAGGAGCAGCTGAGGTGTTGCATTTTGTGCCCCTAAACACTTGTTGGCTTTCCTGGCAAAGGAATAGAAGGATGTGATGGGACACACCCACACACCCCTGAGCCCAGGCTCCTGTCCCCAGCAGCACTGGGAAGTGAGCAAAGGAGATGAGGAAGCACAGGGAAGGCACTGATTGTGAGGACTCTCCTCCTTTTCACCTCTCCTCAAACCCATGGCAGGTTGGGATCTGTTCAATTCCTTGCGTACAGGTGACCAGAGCCAGCAGGGAAAAACCAGGACACTGAGCCTGGCTCCAGCCTGCAGATCTGGAAGGTCCCAGATTCCCAGTGTGAGGCTGGAAAGGGCACCTTGGAATGCAGGGCAAAGGTGCTTCTGTCCAGCTGTTCCCCAGTCGCTGTCGAGGCAGGATGGGAATGACTAGACTCGACTCAGAAGGCTGTGAGAGTAAACTCTGATTTATTCAAAATATATTACTCTTTTATACAGAGCTTTGTGAGGACCAACTCCAATGGTTCTGAAGTGAAAACAACTTATTGGTGCAAAGTGCTTGACACACAGTGATAGAACTTAACTATAAACAATGTGAAAAACAAGAGAGATAAAGAATTATTTATATTCTTCTCCACCTCTTTCTCAGGCTTCTGTCTGGCTAGAAATTCTCAGTTTCTTTCTTTGACTGGATCTGAGTCCCACATTCCCCTAATGTTTATTTTTCTGTCCTTCTGTAGGTAAAAGCTGTTGTTCCAGAAAACATGCTGCTATATTGGTGGTGATAATCCTCATACTGGTCCTGGCAGTATATTTAATAATCACATGTAAGTTATTTTGTTAGTGTCATAACAGCAATTAATTTGTGTCTCAATCCCACTGAGTGATGTCCAGGCCATGACATATAAAGCCAGTAGGAATGGAAATTTGGTTTGAAGGCAAATGACAGCAGTTTTTAGCCAATCGTAGCTGTAAGAGAAAATCTGTAAGAGAGTTGAATGGTTTGAAAGCTGGAAATTCAAAGAGATAAAATAGCCAAAATCCCAATGAAAAACTGACAACACTCAAATGACAAAGGATTTATTATACAAAAATTTGGATGAAACAAGTGAAGATTCGATAATGCCTAACATTAAGACAATTGCTATCTGTGAGAATACCACAAGTTGATGAGGTTGTAGCATGAGACCAAGATGTCCATAACACCACAAATCTTTAAAAAATTATGAATCAAAATTCATTTGAAGGAGGCAACTAAATCACATCTTACAGGAGTTTGCTTAAGGTCATAACAAATCTGAGCAGCATAAAAAGATAGATGACATTTTGTAGGAAAAAAAATCGTATTTCCATCAGAAAAAAATTAATAGACCCAATTGGTATTTCCTTTAAAAGTTTTTAAAGAACCATTTTAAAATTTCAGATGGTTTTGTTTGTTTCTTTCCATCCTTTGAAAGCTGAGAAAGCTTGAGAAGCTTCCACCACCAATCACTCTCAATTCCCAGAGTTTGCCACGTGCTCAGAAACGCACATGGGGAAGAGATGGCAAATCCTTTGATCCTTGGAACTTAAAGAACAGGGCTGGGAAAGGCAAGTCATTCTGCTTTTCTAAGGCAAAGAGTTCAGGATTGATATCTGACAGTGCTCTGACATTTATAAATGTCCAACAGCAAAGGGTGGGGCAAATGAAGAACAAATAATAAACCAACAGAAAATAAAAAGGTCTAATTTTGATTTAATATAGCTTTAAGTCTAACATTGAAAGAGGAGTCCTTAGACTTAGATCAAGGTATGGCTTTAGTTATAGTTCCTTTGTGCATCTCCATAGTGGCTCAGAACAGCTACAGACCTGAAAAAATACTACTAAGAAACTTGAGATCAAGATCAAACTTGAGAAATGAAATCAAGGTGGTTCTTAAGTTCAAGAGCACACAGGTTTCACTTGTTCTCCAAATAAAAACTGTTGCATTATGAGTTTATGCTAAGTCTTAGTTTTGTATGAATTTTCCAATAGGTCTTGTTATTAACAAATCCAATGTTATTAAGATACAACTTGTTTAAATTAACTAAAGTGTTGCCCTTTACTCAGTGGAACCTCACCTGACCATTTAATGATTTTTATAGTACTCTCATGAGCAAAGAGGCAGAGTTTGCATTCTGTGTTGGGTGAAGGGGGCTCAGTGAGGTCCAGCAGAGCTCTGACAGTGTGTGGCACAGTGGTCATTCCTTGCAAGCAGAAATTGTGTTCTTATTTGCAGATGCTCCAACTGCAGGCAGCCAAGAGGACTCAACAAGAACCACCCCTGCAGAGGCACTAGGTGGGTAATCGTCTGTCATTCCACAGGGAGTTTCCAGAAGCCTGTCCAGAAGTCAGTCCAGCAGAGCTCTGACAGTGTGTGGCACAGTGGTCATTCCTTGCAAGCAGAAATTGTGTTCTTATTTCCAGATGGTCCAACTGCAGGCAGCCAAGAGGACTCAACAAAAACCATCCCTGCAGAGGCACTAGGTGGGTAATCCTCTGTCATTCCAGAGGGAGTTTCCAGAAGCCTGTGGCATTGAGTGTGAAGGGGACAGGGGAAGCTGTGGGACTGGGTTTTGTTCAGAAGGGACACAAAGAAAGAACACCCCTCCCATCTCAGGAATACAGACCTTATCCTGGACACTCCCAGGATGAGCTCTGGAAGGCACTGGAGGAACAATCCCTCTGGAAGCACAGCACTGCTGGGAGCAGGATGGGCAATAGGCTTCAACTGCTTTTCAAAGACCCTCCATTACCAGCCTTTCCACTCAGTGCAATGCCCTGTGGCTGTTTAGGATCTGCTGAGCAAAGATGGGAAAGGCTGGATCATGTTTGCTGTGCTGCTCCCTGCCTGGTGATTCTGGGCTGCTGTCAGCTCCAGAGGCTGTGGGAGTCCCTGGTGCTCTGGTGACAATTCCCAGCAGGAGCACACAGGCATTTCTGGGGCTGGAATTGCCTCTCTCACCTCTCTGTTATCATGGCATCCTTTGGTCAGTATGAACATGGATTTTCCACCCCTCTTCTTCCCTTCTGCAGGCTGCCCCGCAGCATGGAAGAAACATGGGAGAAGTTGCTATTTCTTTTCTCCAGAGACGAAACCAAGGAGCTGGGAAGCCTCTCGTGCAGAATGCACTGCCATGGGCTCAGACCTGGTGGTCATTGAGAGCAGGGAAGAGCTGGTGAGATCCAACTCCTGGGGCAGCTGCTCGGGGGGCTGGAGCTGCCTGGCCAAGGGCTGAGCAGTGACACTTGTGCCAGCTCCTGTCACATGTCCTTGGGCTCTGGACCTGCTGCCAGCCATGGACACGCCAGCCCTGGCAGTGGGAGCAAAGCCCTGCACAAGGAGAGGCCTCCTGGGGCTTGGAGTCCTTCTGTGCCCAGGCCTGATCCCATGGCAAGGAGCAAACTCCCTGCCCAGCTGGCTGGGCTTTTGCAGGGGTTTAGTACACAGGCCAGGGAGGTTGAACAGACACTTCATTGTGAGAGCCATGGCTGTGACAAAACCTGAGAAGGCTTTGCCACTCCCATCAGAAGGGAAAAGTGTCCCCAGGTATCAAGTCACACCTGTCTGACTGCAATGTACAGCTGTAATGGCACCTCAGGTGTGTTATTACATTTATGACAGTCATAAGGGGCCTTCAAAAGGGTTATAACCTTCAATAGAAATGGAGAAATTCATCCTGTGGAGCTGTGGGCAGAGGTGCTGTGGCTGGGTGCACACTGCACTCTCTGTGCTGCCTGTGCAGCACTGAGCCCTCTGTGCCTCTGGTGAAGAAAATGTCATTTTCAGGAATCCCCATTGTTGGCTTCCTTTCCAGAGATACCTTTTCTTACAATCAAGATATAATTACTACTTACTTGGTCTTACACGCTCTGAAGAGGGGCAGAAGTGGAAGTGGATCAACAACGTGGAACTGGACCCAGACATGTGAGCTCATTCCAGCAAGTCCCTGCCATGCAATGTCTGGGAAGAGGAAAATCCCAAAGGCAGAGCAAAGAGCAGAGAGCCCAAGGGAGATCAGGGACTGTGGTTTGGGGGAAGGGGATTCCTTGAGATGCAGGTGCTTCAGCACATGCCTGTGCCAAGGAAAGGGAGCCTTTCAGGGCCAGGGAGCACGGGGCTGTCCTGGAAGGATGGCAGGAGGGGACACAGCTGTAGCTCTGCTGGGGAAGGAAGGATCTGGCTGGCTGCAGTTCCTGGGGAAAGGAAGGAGACAGGAGGCAGGGACAAGAGAGAGGGTGATGTCAGCACCATTGGCTGCAGGGGACCAAAGCAGGGAAATGTTTCTGGATGGGAAAGCATTGCCCAGAAACTTTTGTGGAGATGTGGGGAACAAAAATATGGAATGGGAGGGGGATTCCAACAAGGCAGTTCCTGGTCCCAGTGGCACTAACAGCTTAGCAGCCAGGCCAGGTGCCACTCTGCCTTTAACTGCATGTCAGAAATGTCATCAAATTTGTCTTTTTTCCCCTGATCAGGTTCCATCTAAATGGACGTTACCATGACTATCACTGCACGGCCATTGGATATGATCAAGTACATACTGCACCTTGTGATGGATCCGACACAACAAAAAATATGTGTGAAAAAGCTGCAACAATCCCATAAAGGCATCAGAAGGAGAGCTAAAAACAAGAGGTGCAGGCTGATCTGTTATTGCCAGCTTCGTGTAGGACCCGTGGGTGGGATGTGTCTCATTTCTCTTTAGCTGCCCAATCTCTGCTCCCAGGCTCTCCTGCAGCCTCTGTCCAGACTGGTGGCCCAGCTCAGCCCAGCCTTTCCCTGATGGTGTCTGAGGCTGGAGGGATCCCCTCTGCCAGAGCTGGCACTGGCACTCAGGAGGAGTCTGGCACTGTCTCATGCCAGAGGTGGCACTTCCAGGCAGGCACTGCCAGGGGAGAGGAGTCCAGCCTGGGGACAGGGGTGATCCCAGCCTGATCCTGACTCTGCAAGTCACATCCATCCACAGCCCTGTGTTCCCAGCCCTGCCTGGGCCCAAGGAGACCCTTCCCCACCTGGCCACAGCCTGGCCTTGCCTGCAGCCACAAGGGAAGGGCAGCACAGATTTCTGGTTGGGATCCTGTAGGGAAAGGCAACCCCACTCCTTGCCGGGATGGACAGGATAAAGTCAGGTGGGGTTGTGGATAAATATTCCCCTGTCCCAGACTGTTCAAAGGCACATGGGATCCCAGAGCTTGTGGGGGAATGGGAATCAGCCCAATCCTGTGTGGGGAAGGGAAGGAATGTCAGATTTATGATCTGCTGGGGAAGGGCACTGAATAGAGACCAGCAAGGCCTGGAGAACAGAGTCCCAAGAGAAGCTGATCTGGACAGAAATCAGAACAATGAAACCCACGGTGACCTGTGAAGGAGCTGCTGAGAAGTGTGAGAGTGACCCACATGGAATGGCAACAGGGTGCTCTGCCCTCTTTTTCTTGGAGATTGATCACAGGACAGGGCTGCTCCATTGATGAGCTCTGTGTCCCCCCAGAGAGCTCCACTCAGCTGCCTGGGCTGACTGCTGGGCCCCTGTAGAGTTCCTCTCCTTTGCATTGCATGGAATAAAGCTTTCCTTTTCAAAAGTCAAAGCATTGTTTGTGTGTAGGTGGGTGAAGCTTTGGGAACTCCAGACATTTCCAATCCAGAATGACTTCCCAACACAGGTGACTTCAGGGAGGCCATCAACGTACATTTCCTCATGTTACTGACATAAAATCCTGTGCCATCAAAAGATGAAGCAGAAATAAACTTCTCTTTTCACTAGAAGTTGATGTGTGACCAGAAGAGTCAAGAACTTCCTCCTGAAGGTCAGAGAGGGGAGGGAGCTCTGAGGTGTGCCCAGCTCAGAGTGCCACTGTCAGAACAGCCGAGGGAGGAAAGAAGAGAGTGGAACAAAAATGGCAGAAAATGTCATTAACTCTGACCTGAACTTGCCTGGACCAACCAGACCCAGAGTCCTGACGGTCCCTGATGTCCAAGGTAGGTCCAGTGCTGAGCACTGAGCTTTCTTTGCATTCCCCAGTCTCTCTCCCACACACATCTGTTGAGAGAGGTCCTTGGAGCACCAAAGTCCCAAAGAGCACAAGGGAAATATGAGGGCCAGTGCTGGAAAACTGCAGGTGCAGTGTCCAGATAGGGTTGTTTGTATTTACAAAGGCAAGTTGTTGTAATATCTACTTTTGGTGAGATACAAGTGTGAGGCCGCGTCTATACTGTGATATTAAGAGTCATTTTCTCCATTTTGGAGAGCATTCCAGAGCTGAACATCCATTGCTCCTGCCCCTGGCCTGTTGTCCCCCAGCAGGCTGAGATTCCTGCAGCAAACTGCTCAGGATGGAGTGGCTGCTGGTGCTGGTGTTCCCAGCAGTCTCCTGCAGAGCTGTTCTGCTTCCTGAGCACAGCAGCACTGCCTGGGGGCTTCTCCTCCTGCTCTGGCTGTCCAAACTGCTTCTTGAATGCACAGGTGGGAAATGGTTTATGGACAGGTTTAGTCTGATTTAGGATTAAGCACTTTACAAAATTCTAACTGAGAATTTATCTTTCTTTAATGAGTTTAAAATGATTGCATATATGTTTGCAATATCTGCCAAGAAATAAGATCCTAAAAATTAGCAGACTTCATAGAGTGTTTCTCTATTGGATTTTTCTTTCCTTTCTTTCTACTTCTCTTTTCACTCTGGCAGAAATTATTTCTTGCCATCCGGGACTTTTCTTTTGCACAAAGTGTGAACCCTCTGCACGTCTTTTTGGATGGGCAGAGTTACTAACCCAGGAAACAGGATTTATCACCTCTAACAACAGAGGAATCCACAGCCCACTTTACAGGAACCACGACTGATGTCAGCTGATTAAAAGGTTCACTTTCATTACAATTTCAAGTTTTTATACCGTTTCAATAACTTTTTTATATTTCTCTTTTTGTGTCTTTCCTGGGAAATGCCTTCCAACTCTTTCATTATTTCATGCACAAAATATTCCAGATACTCACCTATAGCTTTCAGAAAAGAGTTGGTTTCATGCCTGGATCCCATTCTCTCCTCTTTACTGAGCCCCCTCTCCTTCAGGCAGCTCCCTCTGTCACCCACCCACCCTCTGTGTGTCCTCCTGCAATCCAGGCCTTGGAGGACTCTGCTGCTTTTCAGCTCTCCTCAAACCCATGGCAGGTTCGGATCTGTTCAGTTCCCTGAGCACAGGGGTCCAGAGCCACTGGGGAAGTGTGGTAAGCTCATTTCTCTCCCTCTCAGGATTTCTCATAGAGGTGCACAGAGCGAAATGAAAGAGAAAACAATTTCTATTTCTACTCTTTGTTTTTCCTATGTGGAATGTGTTTGGAGAATTGTTTACCTGGAGTGAGTGCTTGATTGGATTCTGGTGAGGATTGTTTGAGCCTGATGGCCAATCCAACCCACCTGGGGCAGGACTCTCAAAAGAGGGTCACAAGTTGTGTAAGAGATAGAGTTAGAGAAAGCTGTATGTAGTTTTAGTCTCTTCTTTTTTCTAGAGTATGTGAATGTATTTTAGCATAGTTATAATAAAGAAATCATTCACCCTTACCATTTCTTCCCCATTTGGTTCAGCTGCATTTGAGGACATTGAGCCTGGCTCCAGCCTGCAAACCTGGAATGCTCCAGAGTTCCAGTGGGAGCCTGGAAAGGCATCTTGGAATAAAGGTACTTTATTCCAGCTGTTCCCCAAACCTTTATGTTTCTGCCCCTCTGTAGGTAAAAGCCATGGTTTCAGAACCCGAGCTGCTGCACTGGTTGCTGTCCTGGTTGTGCTCATCCTCCTCGTGGTCATGGCCCTGTATCTGACACTCACCATGGGTAAGTCCTGCCAGAAATGTCACACTGGCAATTCATTTGTGTCTCTCTGCCACTGACTGATGTCCAGGCCATGACAGCCAAAGCCAGGAGGAATGGAAGTCTGGTGTGAAGGAAAAGGGTAGCAGTTTTCACCCAACCATGGCTGTAAGAGGAAATCGGGGGGAAAAAAAAAAAAGTTTCAAAAGTTTTAAAATCCAGTAGATAGAAAGCCAAAACCCAATTGAAAACTGACAAGGTTCAAACACTGCAGAATTCATGATACAAATGTTTTGAAGAAGCAAGTCAATATTGGATAATGCCTATCCTTGTTCTGGTTGCAATCCTTGAGAATATTTTGAGATGATATTGTATCATGGCACCCAGGTGTGACACCAAAACTCTTAAAATAATTAGCACTAAAAGCTCCTTTGGGAGAGAGACAGCAAAGTTGCACTTGAAAGGAATTTTTGTTGCCTAACTGAAGTAAAAGCCTTGTGATCAGTGTTTGCATAGATATCACTGAGCTCAAAACAATCTCTGAGCTACTTAGAAAGACACATTAATTCTCTAGAAAGAAAACATTCTCATCTCCACGGAAAAAGGGAATAAAAACCTATTAGAGCCATATTGTACTTCCTTCTAAAGATTTCATGGAATTAGTTTTAATTGTGGGCTGTTTCTCGCTGTCTCTTTCCATATTTTGACAATTGAGAAAGTCTGAAATGTTTCCACAACCAATCACACTCAATTCCCAGAGTCTCCCATGGACTCAGAGCTACCCATGGCGAAAAAATGCCAAAACCTTTCATGTACTTGGTGTAAAGCATAGGCTTGGGTGGGGTAATTGCTTTTTCTTTTTCAAGGCAAAGAGTACAGGGCAGGTATCTGATAGTGCTCTGACATGCTACAATGTGCAATGCCAGAGCAAGGGCAAATTCAAAACAAATCATCAACCAAGACAACCTCAGGAGGTGAAATGAGCTGCATTTAATAGAGCAGAAAATCTGGAGTTGATGTTGTTTGTCTCTGATTGCTGTGGTTCCATGTGTGCTGTCCCTCACATCCACCTCTGCTCTGGGAAGGGCTGGAGCAGTCCTGGGTCAGTTCTGGAGTTTGGCCCTTTGGAAGGGAACACCTTGGGGTGTGCTGCAGCCTTGAGGGTTGTTTGCAATGAATGAGCAAAGAGGTAGAGTTGGCATTTTGTGTAGGGTGATGGAGGAGCCAAAGAGGCCCAGCAGGGCTCTGGCAGTGCGTGGCACAGTGGTCATCCATTGCAAGTAACAATTGTGTTCTTATTTCCTGATGCTCCTACAGCAGGCAGCCAACAGGACTCTACAGCACTGACCTCCACCAGCCAAAAGGTCTCAAGCCCATTGTCGCCCACCAACCAAGAGAACTCAACAAAGGTACCCCCCAGCCATGAAGAGGCACCAGGTAGGCAATCCTCTGTTCTTCCAAAGGGAGCTGCCAGAAATCTGATGGATTGATGGGGACAGAAAAGGAGCTCTGTCAGGATTTTGTTCAGAAGGAAAACAGACAACCCCTCTGCCGTGTCAGGAGTACAAACCTCACCCTTGGACACTGCCAGGATGAGCTCTGGAGCCCATGGAGGGTTTGTGTTTGCACCTCCTTTGGCAGCAGTGCAGGCTCAGCTCTGCATTCCTGTTGCACAGGGAAGAGCTGCTGCCTCTCTGCTGCCAGAGCAGAGCAGTGTGAGGCAGGGAAGGCACAGGAGGAACAATCCCTCTGCTCCCCAGCCCTGCAGGGGGCAGGATGGACAATGTGCCTGTGCTGCTTTCCCAAGGCCCCTCCATTGCCAGCCTGTGCAATTCCATGCTGCTCTTCAGGAGCTCCTGGATCCCCAACCAAAGTGTCTCCTGCAGGCCCTGTCTCCCTGAATGCCATCCCCTCTGCAGCTCCTCCTGTCTGCTCCTCCTGCTGCCCTGCCTGCCGTGCACACAAATGTTGGTGCTGTCAGTAGCACCTCAGCTGCCCAGTTCTGCATCAGGCAAACCAGACTTTGGCAATCTGAGAGCTGCTCTTGTGCCCTGAGCATCTCCCTGTATGCCCTGAGCAAAGATGGGAAAGGCTGGACCATGTTTGCTGTGCTGCTCCCAGTCTGGCTGCTGCCTGGTGATTCTGGGCTGCTGTCAGCTCCAGAGGCTGTGGGGGATCCCTGGAGCTCTGGTGACAATTCTCAGCAGGAGCACACAGTCATTTCTGGGGCTGGAATTGCCTCTCTCACCTCTCTGTTATCATGGCATCCTTTTGCCATCTCTGTTATAATTTGCTATTTTTTCTTTGACACTGGATCCTATGCATTGTTCATAAAGTACTGACATTAATTCCATAAGCCAGCAGAACCCACTGAAACTGATAGAAACCCTTATCTCTGTGTGGAGATAGAACCAAGGGGGCTCAGTGCTAGATAGCAGGATGGTTTTGAGTGTTTCAGAAGTATGGAACATTCTAGGTCTTATTTAGTGCCCACATCATTAAACTTTACCCCTGTCCATGTGCATTCTTCCCTGCTGGTTTGCATTTATTTCATAACTATGTCACACCTCCTCATTTAGCATGATCTGTAGTTCTCAGGCTTCCACATTTTAACCATTGTCCCCATTTGTGTATGGATGTGAACTGAATGAGACAGTCAGAGACCGGCAGTGAAAAGTGAACAGGAAGATGAGGAAGAAGAAAAAGGGCATCAAAGAGATTTTGCTGTCACAGTTTCATAAGCAATACTCTCCCATTTCCCTCAGGGACTTCCTGGGCCTTCACTCAGGGAATTCCTAATGCCAGAATGTGTAGAGTCACCATCCCAGAGATATTCAAAGCCTTCCTGTGCATGGTCCTGGACATCCTGCTCTGACCGACACCTGAGCAGGGGAGTTGGACCTGGGAATGTGAAAAGGTCAATTCAAACCCGAATCACTCTGCCTGTTTGTGCACAGGACAGCAGGGCTGATGTTCCCAGAGACCCTCTCGAATTTTCTTTTTTATTTTCTTTATGTGAATTCACATCAGGTCTGTTACCTCCTAGGGCCCAGGTGGAAAGAGAGTTCTAAGAGTGGGGTTAAAAAACAGCATTAGCATTACCTCCCAGCAGGTATCCCCTGGGATTTGTTAGTACATCCAAACTGTATTTAGGCCATCCATTTTACAGTCCTTGTGCCTTCTCACAAGGGACTGCCTTGAACTGACAGATCTGCCCAGTTCTGCCTCAGTCAGTCCTGACTCAAGGGATTAATTCATCTTCTCTACCATGACCTTCTCTGCTGAATATTTCCTGCAGAGCCAACCATCCTGCCTGGCTCCCATTCTCTCAGAGCAGCCCTTTTTAGCTCCTCTTTACTGAGCCCCTCTCCTTCAGGCAGCTCCCTCTGTCACCCACCCACCCTCTGTGTGTCCTCCTGCAATCCAGGCCTTGGAGGCCTCTGCTGCTTTTCAGCTCTCCTCAAACCCATGGCAGGCTGGGATCTGTTCAGTTCCCTGAGCACAGGGGGCCAGAGCCACTGGGGAAGCACCAGGACATTGAGCCTGGCTCCAGCCTCAAACCTGGAATGCTGCAGAGTCCCAGTGGGAGCCTGAAAAGGCATCTTGGACTGCAGGGGAAAGGGGCTTTATTCCAGCTGTTCCCATCATCTTTGCTTTTTGCTGTCTCCCTCTAGGAAGAAGTTGCTGTTCCACAACACGAGTTGCTGTCCTGGTTACTGAGATAATCCTGCTCCTGCTCATTGTTGTGTGTCAGATACTCCCATGTAAGTGCTATAAATGTAATAACAGCAATTAATTTGTGACTCTCTCCCACTGACTGAGGTCCAGGCCGTGACATCCAAGGCCAGGAGGAACAGAAGTCTGGTGTGAAGGTAAAGGACAGCAGTTTTTATTCAGGCATGGCTGTATGAGTAAATGTGTAAGAGAATCGAGTGGTTTGAAAGTTTAAAATTCCAAAAGAAAAAAAAACCAAACAAACAAATCTCCATTGAAAACTGACAATGTTCAAACACTGGAGGAATTTATTATAGAAATGCTTTGACGAAACAAAATCAGATAATGCCTGTTGGTCTTTTAATTGGGATATGTGAGAATATTTCAAGGTGAAGATAATTTATTACGACATCAAGATGTGACACTAAAAACATTAAAAGAATTAAGAATAAAAGCTCATTTGAAAAAGACAGCAAAGTTCAAAGTTACATCTTAAAGGGACTTGTTTTCACCTTATTCAAATAATATCCTTGTGCTCAATCTCTATCTGCATGCCCAATTTATAACAATATTTTAGATAAAGAAAATTTATAACAATACTTTAGATAAAGAAAACATCATCTCCATCCCAAAAAAATCAGAGCCATGTACTACTACTTCCTTTGAAAGTTTTCAAGGAATCATTTTTAAATTTCATATAGTTCTGCTCATTACTTTCCATAGTTGAGCAAACTTGAGACACTTCCACATTCAATCACAGATTCTGACTAAATAATGCAAGTTAAGTTTAGAAACTCAGTGACACCAAGGGCCTCACACCAAAATCTCTGCATAAAGCATTTCTGATACCAAATGACACAAAGAATCTTGGGAGACCAAGAAAATGTTCTCAGTGCAGCTTCACTTGCAGAGAATAGCAACCAGTTCCCTGGGTCTGGGAGACAGGTTTGGAGCATGAAAAAGCCTATATCTTATTGAATTAATTTTTATAAGTCTGAAATGTTTCATTACTGGAAAACTCAGTATAATTATTGTCCTTCAATTTCATCAGATAGGATGCAAATGCAATGTGTTGGCATCAGGGATCCCGGAGGGCCCTGCTGGGTCACAAGGCAGGGCTCTTTAAATACCATCCAGCTCTGATGGGTGGTGCCCCTTACTCACAGCCAGACAAAATTCTGACTGCCAGAGTCACCTCAATGGCACAGTTTGGCAGTTTTCTGGTAAATTCAGTCTTCCCAAGTCACTGTTCTTTGGGATGGAACCTGCTCTCCTGGGCCTGGGTGACACCCTGCTTGCCCGTGGGAAGTGGGAAATGAATTCCCTGTTTTGCTTTGCTTGCATGCACTGTTCCTCTTCTTCTATTCAACCATCCTCATCCCAGCCCAGGAGTTTTCCCACTTGTCCCCATCTCCCTTCTCCTCTCTGCCAATGGTACCTTGCAGGGGTTCTTCTCTGTTGATGCTTGGGACAGAAAATGCAAAACGTGGAGCATCATCTGGATGGAGTGGAATCTTTTACCCTTGCCTGTCTCCCTTCTCCTCTCTGCCATGGAGAGGAATGGAGGCAGTGGCTTCATGGGGATTTTTGCTGGCTGGTGTCCAATGGCAAGAGGCCCAGAGCTGCCCCTAGGGCTCCAGGAGATCCCATACAACGCTGAGCACAGCGGGATGATCCCCTCTCCCAGGGGCTGCTGAGGCTGTGCTTGATGTCCCCAGGACAGGCTTTGCCCTCTGGGCTGCCAGGGCAGGGCTGGTTCCCCCTGAGGCTGGGGCTGTCCAGCACATCAGCCTGGGCATGGGGCTGCTCCTGCCACATTCCATCTGCCCTCAGCACCAAAGCCAAAGAAATCTGCCATCTTCAACTGGGAATTGCTGTGAGAGATAGGATGTGTCCTCCCACAATTACTGCCAGCACCATGGCCACAGAGCTGCCACCTCCTGCTCTAGGAAAGCATTAATCCCGCAGGAATGGCAAACCTGGAAAGCCAAGGGCTTGTCTGATTTAGGCTGAACTATTCCAGCTGAAATGTTCTCATATTAAGAACCTTCTGCAATTCCTGAAACAGGCTGGACCAATCTCCCTTCCTGAATGATGGCTCTCACCTTTTCACATCTCCTCAAACCACAGCAGTCTGGGATCTGTTCCCTGAGCACGGGGGTCCAGGGCCAGTGGGGAAACAGCAGGACATTGAGCCTGGCTCCAGCCTGCAGCTCTGGAAGGCCCCTGAGTGCCAGTGGGAGCCTGAAAAGGGCACCTTGGAATGCAGGGGAAAGGGGCTTTTGTCCAGATGCTCCCCACATGGTTATTGTCTGTCCCTCTGTAGGTAAAAGCCGTTGTTCCAGAACACAAGCTGCTGTCCTGGTTGCTGTCCTGGTTCCGATTGTGGTGGCCCTCGCGCTGTCTTGGGCACTCCCACGTAAGTCCTGCAGGAAATGTCACACTGGCAATTATTTGTGTCTCTCTGCCACTGACTGATGTCCAGGCCATGACAGCCAAAGCCAGGAGGAGCAGAAGTCTGGTGCAAAGGCCAAGGACAGCAGTTCTTAGCCACCCATGGCTGCAGCAGGAAATCTGTAAAAAAAAAACCAAACTGTTGCATTATGAGTTTATGCTAAGTCTTAGTTTTGTATGGATTTTCCAATAGGTCTTGTTATTAATAAGTTGTTATTGAGATACAACTTGTTTAAATGATGTAAAGTGTTGCCCTTTACTCAGTGGAACCTCACCTGACCATTTAATGATTTTTATAGTACTCTCATGAGCAAAGAGGCAGAGTTTGCATTCTGTGTGGGTGAAGGGGGCTCAGTGAGGTCCAGCAGAGCCCTGACAGTGCATGGCACAGTGATCATTCCTTGCAAGCAGAAATTGTGTTCTTATTTCCAGATGCTCCAACTGCAGGCAGCCAAGAGGACTCAACAAGAACCATCCCTGAAGAGGCACTAGGTGGGTAATCCTCTGTCATTCCAGAGGGAGTTTCCAGAAGCCTGTCCAGAAGTCAGTCCAGCAGAGCTCTGACAGTGTGTGGCACAGTGATCATTCCTTGCAAGAAGAAATGTTGTTTTTATTTCCAGATGGTCCAACTGCAGGCAGCCAAGAGGACTCAACAAGAACCATCCCTGAAGAGGCACTAGGTGGGTAATCCTCTGTCATTCCAGAGGGAGTTTCCAGAAGCCTGTGGCATTGACTGTGAAGGGGGCAGGGGAAGCTGTGGGACTGGGTTTTGTTCAGAAGGGACACAAAGAAAGAACACCCCTCCCATCTCAGGAATACAAACCTTATCCTGGACACTCCCAGGATGAGCTCTGGAAGGCACTGGAGGTACAATCCCTCTGGAAGCACAGCACTGCTGGGAGCAGGATGGACAATAGGCTTCAACTGCATTTCCAAGGCCCTCCATTACCAGCCTTTCCACTCAGTGCAATCCCCTGTGGCTGTTTAGGATCTGCTGAGCAAAGATGGGAAAGGCTGGATCATGTTTTCTGTGCTGCTCCCTGCCTGGTGATTCTGGGCTGCTGTCAGCTCCAGAGGCTGTGGGAGTCCCTGGTGCTCTGGTGACAATTCCCAGCAGGAGCACACAGGCATTTCTGGGGCTGGAATTGCCTCTCTCACCTCTCTGTTATCATGGCATCCTTTGGTCACTATGAACATGGATTTTCCACCTCTTCTTCCTTTCTGCAGGCTGCCCCGCAGCATGGAAGAAACATGGGAGAAGTTGCTACTTCTTTTCTCCAGAGACGAAACCAAAGAGCTGGGAAGCCTCTCGTGCAGAATGCACTGCCATGGGCTCAGACCTGGTGGTCATTGACAGCAGGGAAGAGCTGGTGAGATCCAACTCCTGGGGCAGCTGCTCGGGGGGCTGGAGCTGCCTGGCCAAGGACTGAGCAGTGACACTTGTGCCAGCTCCTGTCACATGTCCTTGGGCTCTGGACCTGCTGCCAGCCATGGACACGCCAGCCCTGGCAGTGGGAGCAAAGCCCTGCACAAGGAGAGGCCTCCTGGGGCTTGGAGTCCTTCTGTGCCCAGGCCTGATCCCATGGCAAGGAGCAAACTCCCTGCCCAGCTGGCTGGGGTGTTGCAGGGGTTTAGTACACAGGCCAGGAAGGTTGAACAGACACTTCATTGTGAGAGCCATGGCTGTGACAAAACCTGAGAAGGCTTTGCCACCACCATCAGAAGGGAAAAGTGTCCCCAGGTATCAAGTCACACCTGTCTGACTGCAATGTACAGCTGTAATGGCACCTCAGGTGTGTTATTACATTTATGACAGTCATAAGGGGCCTTCAAAAGGGCGATGACCTTCAACAGAAATGGAGAAATTCATCCTGTGGTGCTGTGGGCAGAGGTGCTGTGGCTGGGTGCACACTGCACTCTCTGTGCTGCCTGTGCAGCACTGAGCCCTCTGTGCCTCTGGTGAAGAAAATGTCATTTTCAGGAATCCCCATTGTTGGCTTCCTTTCCAGAGATACCTTCTCTTACAATCAAGACATAACTACTACTTACTTGGTCTCACACACTCTCCAGAGGAGCAGAAGTGGAAGTGGATCAACAATGTGGAACTCGACCCAAACATGTGAGCTCATTCCAGCAAGACCCTGCCATGCAATGCCTGGGAAGAGGAAAATCCCAAAGGCAGAGCAGAGAGCCCAAGGGAGATCAGGGACTGTGGTTTGGGGGAAGGGGATTCCTTGAGATGCAGGTGCTTCAGCACATGCCTGTGCCAAGGAAAGGGAGCCTTTCAGGGCCAGGGAGCACGGGGCTGTCCTGGAAGGATGGCAGGAGGAGACACAGCTGTAACTCTGCTGGGGAAGGAAGGATCTGGCTGGCTGCAGTTCCTGGGGAAAGGAAGGAGACAGGAGGCAGGGACAAGAGAGAGGGTGATGTCAGCACCATTGGCTGCAGGGGACCAAAGCAGGGAAATGTTTCTGGATGGGAAAGCATTGCCCAGAAACTTTTGTGGAGATGTGGGGAACAAAAATATGGAATGGGAGGGGGATTCCAACAAGGCAGTTCCTGGTCCCAGTGGCACTAACAGCTTAGCAGCCAGGCCAGGTGCCACTCTGCCTTTAACTGCATGTCAGAAATGTCATCAAATTTGTCTTTTTTCCCCTGATCAGGTTCCATCTAAATGGACGTTACCATGACTATCACTGCACGGCCATTGGATATGATCAGGTACATACTGCACCTTGTGATGGATCCGACACAACAAAAAATATGTGTGAAAAAGCTGCAACAATCCCATAAAGGCATCAGAAGGAGAGCTAAAAACAAGAGGTGCAGGCTGATCTGTTATGCCCAGCTTCGTGTAGGACCCGTGGGTGGGCTGTGTCTCATTTCTCTTTAGCTGCCCAATCTCTGCTCCCGGGCTCTCCTGCAGCCTCTCTCCAGACTGGTGGCCCAGCTCAGCCCAGCCTTTCCCTGATGGTGTCTGAGGCTGGAGGGATCCCCTCTGCAAGAGCTGGCACTGGCACACAGGAGGAGTCTGGCACTGTCTCATGCCAGAGGTGGCACTTCCAGGCAGGCACTGCCAGGGGAGAGGAGTCCAGCCTGGGGACAGGGGTGATCCCAGCCTGATCCTGACTCTGCAAGTCACATCCATCCACAGCCCTGTGTTCCCAGCCCTGCCTGGGCCCAAGGAGACCCTTCCCCACCTGGCCACAGCCTGGCCTTGCCTGCAGCCACAAGGGAAGGGCAGCACAGATTTCTGGTTGGGATCCTGTAGGGAAAGGCAACCCCATTCCTTGCCGGGATGGACAGGATAAAGTCAGGTGGGGTTGTGGATAAATCTTCCCCTGTCCCTGACTGTTTCAAGGGCACCCGGGATCCCAGAGCTTGTGGGGGAATGGGAATCAGCCCAATCCTGTGTGGGGAAGGGAAGGAATGTCAGATTTATGATCTGCTGGGGAAGGGCACTGAATAGAGACCAGCAAGGCCTGGAGAACAGAGTCCCAAGAGAAGCTGATCTGGACAGAAAACAGAACAATGAAACCCACAGTGACCTGTGAAGGAGCTGCTGAGAAGTGTGAGAGTGACCCACATGGAATGGCAACAGGGTGCTCTGCCCTCTTTTCCTTGGAGATTGATCACAGGACAGGGCTGCTCCATTGATGTGCTCTGTGTCCCCCCAGAGAGCTCCACTCAGCTGCCTGGGCTGACTGCTGGGCCCCTGTAGAGTTCCTCTCCTTTGCATTGCATGGAATAAAGCTTTCCTTTTCCAAACTCAAAGCATTGCTTGTGTGTGGGTGGGTGAAGCTTTGGGAACTCCAGACACTTCCAATCCAGAATGACTTCCCAACACAGGTGACTTCAGGGAGGCCATCAACGTACATTTCCTCATGTTACTGACATAAAACTCTCAGCCATCAAAAGATGAAGCAGAAATAAACTTCTCTTTTCACTAGAAGTTGATGTGGGACCAGAAGAGTCAAGAACTTCCTCCTGAAGGTCAGAAAGGGGAGGGAGCTCTGAGGTGTGCCCAGCCCAGAGTGCCACTGTCAGAACAGCCGAGGGAGGAAAGAAGAGAGTGGAACAAAAATGGCAGAAAATGTCATTAACTCTGACCTGAACTTGCCTGAACCAACCAGATCCAGAGTCCTGACGGTCCCTGATGTCCAAGGTAGGTCCAGTGCTGAGCACTGAGCTTTCTTTGCATTCCCCAGTCTCTCTCCCACACACATCTGTTGAGAGAGGTCCTTGGAGCACCAAAGTCCCACAGAGCACAAGGGAAATATGAGGGCCAGTGCTGGAAACCTGCAGGTGCAGTGTCCAGATAGGGTTGTTTGTATTTACAAAGGCAAGTTGTTGTAATATCTACTTTTGGTGAGATATCAGTGTGAGGCAGCGTCTGTGCTGTGATATTAAGAGTAATTTTATCCATTTTGGAGAGCATTCCAGAGCTGAACATCCATTGCTCCTGCCCCTGGCCTGTTGTCCCCCAGCAGGCTGAGATTCCTGCAGCAAACTGCTCAGGATGGAGTGGCTGCTGGTGCTGGTGTTCCCAGCAGTCTCCTGCAGAGCTGTTCCTGCTTCCTGAGCACAGCAGCACTGCCTGGGGGCTTCTCCTCCTGCTCTGGCTGTCCAAACTGCTTCTTGAATGCACAGGTGGGAAATGGTTTATGGACAGGTTTAGTCTGATTTAGGATTAAGCACTTTACAAAATTCTAACTGAGAATTTATCGTTCTTTAATGAGTTTAAAATGATTGCATATATGTTTGCAGTATCTGCCAAGAAGTAAGATCCTAAAATTTAGCAGACTTCATAGAGTGTTTCTCTATTGGATTTTTCTTTCCTTTCTTTCTACTTCTCTTTTCACTCTGGCAGAAATTATTTCTTGCCATCCGGGACTTTTCTTTTGCACAAAGTGTGAACCCTCTGCACGTCTTTTTGGATGGGCAGAGTTACTAACCCAGGAAACAGGATTTATCACCTCTAACAACAGAGGAATCCACAGCCCACTTGACAGGAACCACGACTGATGTCAGCTGATTAAAAGTTTCACTTTCATTACAATTTCAAGTTTTTATACAGTTTCAATAACTTTTTTATATTTCTCTTTTTGTGTCTTTCCTGGGAAATGCCTTCCAACTCTTTCATTATTTCATGCACTAAATATTCCAGATACTCACCTATAGCTTTCAGAAAAGAGCTGGTTTCATGCCTGGATCCCAGTCTCTGCTCTTTACTGAGCCCCCTCTCCTTCAGGCAGCTCCCTCTGTCACCCACCCACCCTCTGTGTGTCCTCCTGCAATCCAGGCCTTGGAGGACTCTGCTGCTTTTCAGCTCTCCTCAAACCCATGGCAGGTTTGGATCTGTTCAGTTCTCTTAGCACAGGGGTCCAGAGCCACTGGGGAAGTGTGGTAAGCTCATTTCTCTCCCTCTCAGGATTTCTCATAGAGGTGCACAGAGCGAAATGAAAGAGAAAACTATTTCTATTTCTACTCTTTGTTTTTCCTATGTGGAATGTGTTTGGAGAATTGTTTACCTGGAGTGAGTGCTTGATTGGATTCTGGTGAGGATTGTTTGAGCCTGATGGCCAATCCAACCCACCTGGGGCAGGACTCTCAAAAGAGGGTCACAAGCTGTGTAAGAGATAGAGTTAGAGAAAGCTGTATGTAGTTTTAGTCTCTTCTTTTTTCTATAGTATATTAATGTATTTTAGCATAGTTATAATAAAGAAATCATTCACCCTTACCATTTCTTCCCCATTTGGTTCAGCTGCATTTGAGGACATTGAGCCTGGCTCCAGCCTGCAAACCTGGAATGCTCCAGAGTTCCAGTGGGAGCCTGGAAAGGCATCTTGGAATAAAGGTACTTTATTCCAGCTGTTCCCCAAACCTTTATGTTTCTGCCCCTCTGTAGGTAAAAGCCATGGTTTCAGAACCCGAGTTGCTGCACTGGTTGCTGTCCTGGTTGTGCTCCTCCTCCTCGTGGTCATGGCCCTGTATCTGACAGTCACCGTGGGTAAGTCCTGCCAGAAATGTCACACTGGCAATTCATTTGTGTCTCTCTGCCACTGACTGATGTCCAGGCCATGACAGCCAAAGCCAGGAGGAATGGAAGTCTGGTGTGAAGGAAAAGGATAGCAGTTTTCACCCAACTATGGCTGTAAGAGGAAATCTGAAAAAAAAAAAAAAAAATCAAAAATGGTTTGAATGTTTTAATATCCAACAGATAGAAAGCCAAAACCCAACTGAAATCTGGCAAGGTTCAAACACTGCAGAGTTCATGATACAAATGTTTTGAAGAAGCAAGTCAATATTGGATAATGCCTATCCTTGTTGTTTTTGCAATCCTTGAGAATATTTTAAGATTATATTGTATCATGGCACCCAGGTGTGACACCAAAACTCTTAAAATAATTAGCACTAAAAGCTCCTTTGGGAGAGAGACAGCAAAGTTGCACCTGAAAGGAATTTTTGTTGCCTTACTGAAGTAAAAGCCTTGTGATCAGTGTCTGCATAGATATCACTGAGCTCAAAACAATCTCTGAGCTACTTAGAAAGACACATTAATTCTCTAGAAAGAAAACATTCTCATCTCCACGGAAAAAGGGAATAAAAACCTATTAGAGCCATATTGTACTTCCTTTGAAAGTTTTCACGGAATTAGTTTTAATTGTGGGCTGTTTCTCGTTGTCTCTTTCCATATTTTGACAATTGAGTAAGTCTGAAAGGTTTCCACAACCAATCACACTCAATTCCCAGAGTCTCCCATGGACTCAGAGCTACCCATGGCGAAAAAATGCCAAAACCTTTCATGTACTTGGTGTAAAGCACAGGCTTGGGTGGGGTAATTGCTTTTTCTTTTTCAAGGCAAAGAGTACAGGGCAGATATCTGATAGTGCTCTGACATGCTACAATGTGCAATGCCAGAGCAAGGGCAAATTCTAAACAAATCATCAACCAAGACAACCTCAGGAGGTGAAATTAGCTGCATTTAATAGAGCACAAAATCTGGAGTTGATGTTGTTTGTCTCTGATTGCTGTGGTTCCGTGTGTGCTGTGCCTCACATCCACCTCTGCTCTGGGAAGGGCTGGAGCAGTCCTGGGTCAGTTCTGGAGTTTGGCCCTTTGGAAGGGAACACCTTGGGGTGGGCTGCAGCCTTGAGGGTTGTTTGCAATGAATGAGCAATGAGGTAGAGTTGGCATTTTGTGTAGGGTGATGGAGCAGCCAAAGAGGCCCAGCAGGGCTCTGGCAGTGCGTGGCACAGTGGTCATCCATTGCAAGTAACAATTGTGTTCTTATTTCCTGATGCTCCAACAGCAGGCAGCCAACAGGACTCTACAGCACTGACCTCCACCAGCCAAAAGGTCTCAAGCCCATTGTCGCCCACCAACCAAGAGAACTCAACAAAGGTACCCCCCAGCCATGAAGAGGCACCAGGTAGGCAATCCTCTGTTCTTCCAAAGGGAGCTGCCAGAAGTCTGATGGATTGATGGGGACAGAAAAGGAGCTCTGTCAGGATTTTTTTCAGAAGGAAAACAAACAGCCCCTCTGCCGTGTCAGGAGTACAAACCTCACCCTGGGACACTGCCAGGATGAGCTCTGGAGCCCATGGAGGGTTTGTGTTTGCACCTCCTTTGGCAGCAGTGCAGGCTCAGCTTTGCATTCCTGTTGCACAGGGAAGAGCTGCTGCCTCTCTGCTGCCAGAGCAGAGCAGTGTGAGGCAGGGAAGGCACAGGAGGAACAATCCCTCTGCTCCCCATCCCTGCATGGGGCAGGATGGACAATGTGCCCGTGCTGCTTTCCCAAGGCCCCTCCATTGCCAGCCTGTGCAATTCCATGCTGCTCTTCAGGAGCTCCTGGATCCCCAACCAAAGTGTCTCCTGCAGGCCCTGTCTCCCTGAATGCCATCCCCTCTGCAGCTCCTCCTGTCTGCTCCTCCTGCTGCCCTGCCTGCCGTGCACACAAATGTTGGTGCTGTCAGTAGCACCTCAGCTGCCCAGTTCTGCATCAGGCAAACCAGACTTTGGCAATCTGAGAGCTGCTCTTGTGCCCTGAGCATTTCTCTGTATGCCCTGAGCAAAGATGGGAAAGGCTGGACCATGTTTGCTGTGCTGCTCCCAGTCTGGCTGCTGCCTGGTGATTCTGGGCTGCTGTCAGCTCCAGAGGCTGTGGGGGATCCCTGGAGCTCTGGTGACAATTCTCAGCAGGAGCACACAGGCATTTCTGGGCTGGAATTGCCTCTCTCACCTCTCTGTTATCATGGCATCCTTTTGCCATCTCTGTTATAATTTGCTATTTTTTCTTTGACACTGGATCCTATGCATTGTTCATAAAGTACTGACATTAATTCCATAAGCCAGCAGAACCCACTGAAACTGATAGAAAACCTTATCTCTGTGTGGAGATAGAACCAAGGGGTCTCAGTGCTGGATAGCAGGATGGTTTTGAGTGTTTCAGAAGTATGGAACATTCTAGGTCTTATTTAGTGCCCACATCATTAAACTTTACCCTTGTCCATGTGCATTCTTCCCTGCTGGTTTGCATTTATTTCATAACTGTGTCAAACCTCCTCATTGAGCATGATCTGCAGTTCTCAGGCTTCCACATTTTAAACATTCTCCTCATTTGTGAATGTGTAGAGTCACCATCCCAGAGATATTCAAAGCCTGCCTGTGCATGGTGCTGGACATCCTGCTCTGACCGACACCTGAGCAGGGGAGTTGGAATTGGGGATGTGAAAAGGTCAATTCAAACCTCAATCACTCTGCCAGTGTGTGCACAGGACAGCAGAGCTGATGTTCCCAGAGATCCTCTAGAACTTTCTTTTTTATTTTCTTTTTGTGAATTCACATCAGGTCTGTTACCTCCTAGGGCCCAGGTGGAAAGAGAGTTCTAAGAGTGGGGTTAAAAAACAGCATTAGCATTACCTCCCAGCAGGTATCCCCTGGGATTTGTTAGTACATCCAAGCTGTATTTAGGCCATCCATTTTACAGTCCTTGTGCCTTCTCACAAGGGACTGCCTTGAACTGACAGATCTTCCCAGTTCTTCCTCAGTCAGTCCTGACTCAAGGGATTAATTAATCTTCTCTACCATGACTTTCTCTGCTGAATATTTCCTGCAGAGCCAACCATCCTGCCTGGCTCCCATTCTCTCAGAGCAGCCCTTTTTAGCTCCTCTTTACTGAGCCCCTGTCCTTCAGGCAGCTCCCTCTGTCACCCACCCACCCTCTGTGTGTCCTTCTGCAATCCAGGCCTTGGAGGACTCTGCTGCTTTTCAGCTCTCCTCAAACCCATGGCAGGCTGGGATCTGTTCAGTTCCCTGAGCACAGGGGGCCAGAGCCAGTGGGGAAGCACCAGGACATTGAGCCTGGCTCCAGCCTCAAACCTGGAATGCTGCAGAGTCCCAGTGGGAGCCTGAAAAGGCATCTTGGACTGCGGGGGAAAGGGGCTTTATTCCAGCTGTTCCCATCATCTTTGCTTTTTGCTGTCTCCCTCTAGGAAGAAGTTGCTGTTCCACAACACGAGTTGCTGTCCTGGTTACTGAGATAATCCTGCTCCTGCTCATTGTTGTGTGTCAGATACTCCCATGTAAGTGCTATAAATGTAATAACAGCAATTCATTTGTGACTCTCTCCCACTGACTGAGGTCCAGGCCGTGACATCCAAGGCCAGGAGGAACAGAAGTCTGGTGTGAAGGTACAGGACAGCAGTTTTTATTCAGGCATGGCTGTAGGAGTAAATGTGTAAGAGAATCGAGTGGTTTGAAAGTTTAAAATTCCAAAAGAAAAAAGACAAATCTCCATTGAAAACTGACAATGTTCAAACACTGAGGAATTTATTATACAAATGCTTTGAGGAAACAAAATCAGATAATGCCTGTTGGTCTTTTAATTGGGATATTAGAGAATATTTCAAGGTGAAGATAATTTATTATGACATCAACATGTGACACCAAAAATATTAAAAGAAATAAAAATAAAAGCTCATTTGAAAAAGACAGCCAAGTTCAAAGTTACATCTTAAAGGGAGCTGTTTTCACCTTATTCAAATAATATCCTTGTGCTCAATCTCTATCTGCATGCCCAATTTATAACAATATTTTAGATAAAGAAAATTTATAACAATACTTTAGATAAAGAAAACATTATCTCCATCCCAAAAACATCAGAGCCATGTAGTACTACTTCCTTTGAAAGTTTTCAAGGAATCATTTTTAAATTTCATATAGTTCTGCTGATTACTTTCCACAGTTGAGCATACTTGAGACACTTCCACATTCAATCACAGATTCTGACTAAATAATGCAAATTAAGTTTAGAAACTCAGTGACACCAAGGGCCTCACACCAAAATCTCTGCATAAAGCACTTCTGATACCAAATGACACAAAGAATTTTGGGAGACAAAGAAAATGTTCTCAGTGCAGCTTCACTTGCAGAGAATAGCAATCAGTTCCCTGGGTCTGGGAGACAGGTTTGGGGCATGAAAAAGCCTATTTCTTATTGAATTAATATTTATAAGTCTGAAATGTTTCATTACTGGAAAACTCAGTATAATTAATGTCCTTCAATTTCATCAGATAGGATGCAAATGCAATGTGTCGGCATCAGGGATCCCGGAGGGCCTTGCTGGGTCACAAGGCAGGGCTCTTTAAATACCATCCAGCTCTGATGGGTGGTGCCTCTTACTCACAGCCAGACAAAATTCTGACTGCCAGAGTCACCTCAATGGCACAGTTTGGCAGTTTTCTGGTAAATTCAGTCTTCCCAAGTCACTGTTCTTTGGGATGGAACCTGCTCTCCTGGGCCTGGGTGACACCCTGCTTGCCCGTGGGAAGTGGGAAATGAATTCCCTGTTTTGCTTTGCTTGCATGCACTGTTTCTCTTCTTCTATTCAACCATCCTCATCCCAGCCCAGGAGTTTTCCCACTTTTCCCCATCTCCCTTCTCCTCTCTGCCAATGGTACCTTGCAGGGGTTCTTCTCTGTTGATGCTTGGGACAGAAAATGCAAAACGTGGAGCATCATCTGGATGGAGTGGAATCTTTTACCCTTCCCATCTCCCTTCTCCTCTCTGCCATGGAGAGGAATGGAGGCAGTGGCTTCATGGGGATTTTTGCCAGCTGGTGTCCAATGGCAAGAGGCCCAGAGCTGCCCCTAGGGCTCCAGGAGATCCCATACAATGCTGAGCACAGCAGGATGATCCCCTCTCCCAGGGGCTGCTGAGGCTGTGCTTGATGTCCCCAGGACAGGCTTTGCCCTCTGGGCTGCCAGGGCAGGGCTGGTTCCCCCTGAGGCTGGGGCTGTCCAGCACATCAGCCTGGGCATGGGGCTGCTCCTGCCACATTCCATCTGCCCTCAGCACCAAAGCCAAAGAAATCTGGCATCTTCAACTGGGAATTGCTGTGAGAGATAGAATGTGTCCTCTCACAATTACTGCCAGCACCATGGCCACAGAGCTGCCACCTCCTGCTCTAGGAAAGCATTAATCCCGCAGGAATGGCAAACCTGGAAAGCCAAGGGCTTGTCTGATTTAGGCTGAACTATTCCAGCTGAAATGTTCTCATATTAAGAACCTTCTGCAATTCCTGAAACAGGCTGGACCAATCTCCCTTCCTGAATGATGACTCTCCACCTTTTCACATCTCCTCAAACCACAGCAGGCTGGGATCTGTTCCCTGAGCACAGGGGTCCAGAGCCAGTGGGGAAACAGCAGGACATTGAGCTTGGCTCCAACCTGCAGCTCTGGAAGGCCTCTGAGTCCCAGTGGGAGCCTGAAAAGGGCACCTTGGAATGCAGGGGAAAGGGGCTTTTGTCCAGATGCTCCCCACATGGTTATTGTCTGTCCCTCTGTAGGTAAAAGCCGTTGTTCCAGAACACAAGCTGCTGTCCTGGTTGCTGTCCTGGTTCCGATTGTGGTGGCCCTCGCGCTGTCTTGGGCACTCCCACGTAAGTCCTGCTGGAAATGTCACACTGGCAATTATTTGTGTCTCTCTGCCACTGACTGATGTCCAGGCCATGACAGCCAAAGCCAGGAGGAGCAGAAGTCTGGTGCAAAGGCCAAGGACAGCAGTTTTTAGCCACCCATGGCTGCAGGAGGAAATCTGTAAAAATAACCCAAACTGTTGCATTATGAGTTTATGTTAAGTTTTATTTTTGTATGGATTTTCCAATAGGTCTTGTTATTAACAAGTTGTTATTGAGATACAACATGTTTAAATGAACTAAAGTGTTGCCCTTTACTCAGTGGAACCTCCCCTGACCATTTAATGATTTTTATAGTACTCTCATGAGCAAAGAGGCAGAGTTTGCATTCTGTGTTGGGTGAAGGGGGCTCAGTGAGGTCCAGCAGAGCTCTGACAGTGCATGGCACAGTGATCATTCCTTGTAAGCAGAAATTGTGTTCTTATTTCCAGATGCTCCAACTGCAGGCAGCCAAGAGGACTCAACAAGAACCATCCCTGCAGTGGCACTAGGTGGGTAATCCTCTGTCATTCCACAGGGGGTTTCCAGAAGCCTGTCCAGCAGAGCTCTGACAGTGTGTGGCACAGTGGTCATTCCTTGCAAGCAGAAATTGTGTTTTTATTTCCAGATGGTCCAACTGCAGGCAGCCAAGAGGACTCAACAAGAACCATCCCTGCAGAGGCACTAGGTGGGTAATCCTCTGTCATTCCACAGGGAGTTTCCAGAAGCCTGTGGCATTGACTGTGAAGGGGACAGGGGAAGCTGTGGGACTGGGTTTTGTTCAGAAGGGACACAAAGAAAGAACACCCCTCCCATCTCAGGAATACAGACCTTATCCTGGACACTCCCAGGATGAGCTCTGGAAGGCACTGGAGGAACAATCCCTCTGGAAGCACAGCACTGCTGGGAGCAGGATGGACAATAGGCTTCAACTGCTTTTCCAAGGCCCTCCATTACCAGCCTTTCCACTCAGTGCAATCCCCTGTGGCTGTTTAGGATCTGCTGAGCAAAGATGGGAAAGGCTGGATCATGTTTGCTGTGCTGCTCCCTGCCTGGTGATTCTGGGCTGCTGTCAGCTCCAGAGGCTGTGGGAGTCCCTGGTGCTCTGGTGACAATTCCCAGCAGGAGCACACAGGCATTTCTGGGGCTGGAATTGCCTCTCTCACCCCTCTGTTATCATGGCATCCTTTGGTCACTATGAACATGGATTTTCCACACCTCTTCTTCCCTTCTGCAGGCTGCCCCACAGCATGGAAGAAACATGGGAGAAGTTGCTACTTCTTTTCTCCAGAGACAAAACCAAAGAGCTGGGAAGCCTCTCGTGCAGAATGCACTGCCATGGGCTCAGACCTGGTGGTCATTGAGAGCAGGGAAGAGCTGGTGAGATCCAACTCCTGGGGCAGCTGCTCGGGGGGGCTGGAGCTGCCTGGCCAAGGGCTGAGCAGTGACACTTGTGCCAGCTCCTGTCACATGTCCTTGGGCTCTGGACCTGCTGCCAGCCATGGACACGCCAGCCCTGGCAGTGGGAGCAAAGCCCTGCACAAGGAGAGGCCTCCTGGGGCTTGGAGTCCTTCTGTGCCCAGGCCTGATCCCATGGCAAGGAGCAAACTCCCTGCCCAGCTGGCTGGGGTTTTGCAGGGGTTTAGTACACAGGCCAGGGAGGTTGAACAGACACTTCATTGTGAGAGCCATGGCTGTGACAAAACCTGAGAAGGCTTTGCCACTCCCATCAGAAGGGAAAAGTGTCCCCAGGTATCAAGTCACACCTGTCTCACTGCAATGTACAGCTGTAATGGCACCTCAGGTGTATTATTACATTTCTTAAAGTCATAAGGGGCCTTCAAAAGGGCGATGACCTTCAATAGAAATGGAGAAATTCATCCTCTGGAGCTGTGGGCAGAGGTGCTGTGGCTGGGTGCACACTGCACTCTCTGTGCTGCCTGTGCAGCACTGAGCCCTCTGTGCCTCTGGTGAAGAAAATGTCATTTTCAGGAATCCCCATTGTTGGCTTCCTTTCCAGAGATACCTCCTCTTACAATCAAGACATAATTACTACTTACTTGGTCTCAGACGCTCTGAAGAGGGGCAGAAGTGGAAGTGGATCAACAATGTGGAACTCGACCCAAACATGTGAGCTCATTCCAGCAAGTCCCTGCCATGCAATGTCTGGGAAGAGGAAAATCCCAAAGGCAGAGCAAAGAGCAGAGAGCCCAAGGGAGATCAGGGACTGTGGTTTGGGGGAAGGGGATTCCTTGAGATGCAGGTGCTTCAGCACATGCCTGTGCCAAGGAAAGGGAGCCTTTCAGGGCCAGGGAGCACGGGGCTGTCCTGGAAGGATGGCAGGAGGGGACACAGCTGTAGCTCTGCTGGGGAAGGAAGGATCTGGCTGGCTGCAGTTCCTGGGGAAAGGAAGGAGACAGGAGGCAGGGACAAGAGAGAGGGTGATGTCAGCACCATTGGCTGCAGGGGACCAAAGCAGGGGAATGTTTCTGGATGGGAAAGCATTGCCCAGAAACTTTTGTGGAGATGTGGGGAAAAAAATGGGGAATGGGAGGGGGATTCCAACAAGGCAGCCCCTGATCCCAGTGGCACTAACAGCTTAGCAGCCAGGCCAGGTGCCACTCTGCCTTTAACTGCATGTCAGAAATGTCATCAAATTTGTCTTTTTTCCCCTGATCAGGTTCCGTCTACATGGACGTTACCGTGACTATCTCTGCACGGCCATTGGATATGATCAAGTACATACTGCACCTTGTGATGGATCCCAAACAATACAAAATATGTGTGAAAAAGCTGCAACAATCCCATAAAGGCATCAGAAGGAGAGCTAAAAACAAGAGGTGCAGGCTGATCTGTTATGCCCAGCTTCGTGTAGGACCCGTGGGTGGGATGTGTCTCATTTCTCTTTAGCTGCCCAATCTCTGCTCCCGGGCTCTCCTGCAGCCTCTCTCCAGACTGGTGGCCCAGCTCAGCCCAGCCTTTCCCTGATGGTGTCTGAGGCTGGAGGGATGCCCTCTGCAAGAGCTGGCACTGGCACACAGGAGGAGTCTGGCACTGTCTCATGCCAGAGGTGGCACTTCCAGGCAGGCACTGCCAGGGGAGAGGAGTCCAGCCTGGGGACAGGGGTGATCCCAGCCTGATCCTGACTCTGCAAGTCACATCCATCCACAGCCCTGTGTTCCCAGCCCTGCCTGGGCCCAAGGAGACCCTTCCCCACCTGGCCACAGCCTGGCCTTGCCTGCAGCCACAAGGGAAGGGCAGCACAGATTTCTGGTTGGGATCCTGTAGGGAAGGGCAACCCCACTCCTTGCTGGGATGGACAGGATAAAGTCAGGTGGGGTTGTGGATAAATCTTCCCCTGTCCCAGACTGTTTCAAGGGCACCCGGGATCCCAGAGCTTGTGGGGGAATGGGAATCAGCCCAATCCTGTGTGGGGAAGGGAAGGAATGTCAGATTTATGATCTGCTGGGGAGGGGCACTGAATAGAGACCAGCAAGGCCTGGAGAACAGAGTCCCAAGAGAAGCTGATCTGGACAGAAAACAGAACAATGAAACCCACGGTGACCTGTGAAGGAGCTGGTGAGAAGTATGAGAGTGACCCACATGGAATGGCAACAGGGTGCTCTGCCCTCTTTTCCTTGGAGATTGATCACATGAGGAAATGATGCCTGAGGGCTTTTCCTGTTCAGAAAATTCAATCCAACAGCAGAAACAGGTGACACCAGGAAAACAGAGCTGTTATCAGTAAACATGGAATGTTACCAAAGCTCTGCCTGTCTTCTTCACTGGCTCTTGGGACCTTGGGCCTTGTGTGACTCTAAGAATTATCCTTCTTGTTGCGTTCTTTCAGGCAGAATCATTCCTCCTTTATTTGTGCCTTTCATGGCTCTCTCCTTCATCTGCAGGATGGAGAAAGCTCTGTGAAGCCCTTGAGGAATCCAAGGCCTGGTTTTACCTCTTGGAAAAAAAATTGCTCAGTCAAAAAATCTGTACACAGCATGTTGTGGCCATCGGAAGAGAAAACAGAATCCTACAAGAAAAAATTATCTTTTTAAATTGAAAGCACATTTTGATGTCCCTCACACTCACCATCCTCCTCACTAACTGCTCACATCAAGATTCTTTGGAAACGTGTTTGCAGTTCTTTCCCTGACTTTCAATCCCCAAAGAACAGTGTAAGAACATGGAGCTGTAGAACAATCCCGGTGTCAGAACCCAGGATCTTATTTCAGAAGGAAGCTGAGTTGGAGGGGCTCTTTGCTTGCACTCACTTTAATGGAGAGGGTGGGAGAGCATTCTGTGTTGTGTTATAGATTTCTGCCCTTCTATTTTCATATTCCAGCTGCTGTGATCCCTTGGATCAAGTGGGCTCTCCTGAAGGCAGTACCAGTGTCCTAGATTGCAAGGCAATGTGTGTATTCTCTTTGCCATCTGATAGAGGTGGGAAAGTTATCTTCTGTTGGCAGTTTTTTTTATCCTTTCCACAAACCCGTCTTCCCTCTGGGAAATATCTTCTGTTAATGAGCTATTGAATGTCACTGCATGACTGATAAAAGTTACAGCATCCCATTGTGAGATGCTCTGCCAGAATCACACCTGACACTCCAGGAGGACTGCAGCCACCATTCCAATTGGACTGCTGCCAACACCCTGATCAACAGGGTATCAGGTCGTATTCTGAGTCTGTCAGTGTTGTTTTGTATTACTGCATTGTTTATTTTATTTTTTTATTTTCTTCACAAATAAAGAACTGTTATTCCTGCTCCTATATCTTTACCTGAGAGCCCCCCTTAACTTCAAATTTCTAACAGTTTGGAGGGAGGGGGTTTACAGTTTCCAGTTCAGGGGAGGCTCCTGCCTTCCTTAGCATACACCTGTCTTTCCAAACCAAGATAACCAGGGAAAAGCCTCTTCCCTGGGAGCCACTGGCCCTCAGCTGGAGCCTTCAGCAGGCAGCAGAGGCAGCAGCTGTGCACCAGAGGGGTGGAAAGGGGAAACCACCCTGGGGCCACTGTGGAACTGCACAAACCCCATCCAACCCAGAATGCCACAGGAAGTCTCAGGACTCAGGAGCAGCTACAGCTTGCAAGGAAATCCCTACCAAGGGCAGAAGTTTGACTGAAAGTGCTTTGTTTCCTCTGCCTCTGTGTGGTTCTTTTTCACAATTCTCTGATCTTGTGAGCTAAGTTTTACAGTAAACTTCCACTTCACAGCTTGTGATTCTTGGATTAGCTCTGGCATCCCTACTGCAAGGGAAGAGTGAAACGTTTCTCGCTGCTTCTGTGCTCAGTGCCTCAGAGAATGCCAGGCTGGTTTAATTCTTGCTGCAGCTGTGGGCAATGGCTGACACTCTCTGGGACAGGCCAGGCTGGCAGCACCAGCCCTAGAGGGGCACATCCTGGACACAGGACTGGCTCCATTAGTGTCCTTTATCAAGGAGAACCTGTGACAGGGAGACCTCCGAGAGCTGATCCTCAGGGCTCATCCTATTTACATGGACCTGTATCCCAACTGTGTCTCAAGCCAGGTGTGGTATTTAGGATACACTTGGTAGAAAAAATGATCTGAATATCTTGGCAAAAATCACAACTGAAGGATTTTGATTTTATTGTAGGAGAAAACAGTGAATCAAGACAAGGTTCTTAAAAGAAACCACTCCAAACCATTAAAAAGCCCAGAAGTTGTTGCATAGAAGCAACTAAGCAGAGACAAACATGAACAGCCATTTCAGAGACGAGTGATAATTTATGTAAACAAAAGAAGTTCATGCAGTATTGCACATGCAAACAATTTTATCTGGTTCTAAATGACAAATGTACCAACGCAAGAAATGGATCTCACTGCCAAATGGGCAGGTCAGGAGCATGCACTGCCAATGCAAATTTGCTGTCAGAACAGCAAGCAGGGTTCAGGAGACACAAAGATCACCTTAAAAGTAGCACTGACAGTGTTACAGAGCTTGTAGCAATCACAGGTAAATGTAGGTGAACCCAGTGGGAAGAAATTATTATGTCTGACTCCAGTTCAGAAGGCTGAATGATTTCTTTATTATAACTATACTATAACAGATTAATATACTATTTAAAGGAGATACTAAAACTACATACCTACTTTTCTAAGTAGCATATCTAACTCACAACTCGTGACCCTCTCTGGAGAGTCCTGCCCCAGGTGGGTTGGATTGGCCATCAGGCTCAAACAATCCTCACCTGAATCCAATCAAGCACTCACCCCAGGTAACCAATTCTCCAAACACATTCCACATGGGAAAAACAAGGAGCAGAAATAGCAATTGTTTTCTCTTTCATTTCTCTCTGTGCTCCTCTATGAAAAAATCCTGAGAGGGAGAGAAGAATGTGCCTGGCACACACAGGTAGATTGGTATCTTTTTTTAGCACATGCTGGACTTTCTGGAACCATTTTGGGTTTGTGGCTGCAAAGGCTTCAAATGGTGAGGACTTTTCAAGGTGCTGAGCGTGCTGTTTGCTCTGTGGTGAGTCATGATTTATATATAAAGAAATTTTATTCTTTCTTGGGAAGTGGTTTATGGGAATCTCATGGGGTTTAACAGGACCAAGTGTTGGTCCTACACCTGGGTCAGAACAGCCCCAGGAATCAATCCAGGCTGGGGATGAGCAGAGGGAGCAGCCCTGGCAGAAGGACTTGGGGGTGCTGTGGGTGAGAGCTGGCCCTGCCCCAACCCAGAGCCCCCCTGTGCTGGGCTGCACCCAGAGCCCCAGGGCAGCCGGGCAGGGGGGATTCTGCCCCTCTGCCCCGCTCTGCTGAGACCCCACTGCAGGGCTGCATCCAGCCCTGGGATCCCAGCACAGCAAGGACAGGGAGCTGCTGGAGCCAGGCCAGAGCAGGGACACCAAGGGGAGCAGAGGGATGGAGCAGCTCTGCTGGGAGGAAAGGCTGAGGGAATTGGGATTGTTCAGCCTGGAGAGGAGAAGGCTTTGGGGTGGCCTCATTGTGGCCTTGCAGTGCCTCAAGGGAGCTTGTAAAAAAAGAGGGGGAGAGTGACTTTTTACATGAGCAGATAGTGAGTTCACAAGAGTGAACAGTTTTGAGCTAAAGTTGAAAAAATTTAGAGCAGATATTAGGAAAAAGTTCTATACTCAGGGGATGATGAGGCCCTGGCACAGGCTGCCCCACCCCTGGCAGTGTCCAAGGCCAGGCTGGATGGGGCTCTGAGCAACCTGGGATAGTGGAAGTTGTCCCTGCCAATGTCAGAGGGGTTGGAATTAGAATAAAGTCTGTTCCAATCCAAACCCTTCTATGATTCTATTATCAGTGAGTAACAAAAGTTAATCAAAGATTATTTGTGGTAGCAGGAGGCAGCAGCACAGGATCCAACTCTGACTTTTCAAGCCAGTCCCATGGGAGCCCTCTTGTAAAATGCCATGCTTTTTCCTTAGAATGTTTGCGTTTTTTCTCCCTAAATCATGACAACATTTTAAAGTAATTTTCCAGTATGGAGGGTATTTCTGCCTTTAGCCTTCAAAAAATTCCTGTCATGATTATCAACATTTATTTTAGAAATTGTCTGGAGGCTTTGTAGCCAAACTGATGAGGGAAAGTGAAAGTGAAGGTGAGTGTCTTGGTTACAAGCATCTGGGGTTAATAACAGTAGTTTTAGAGGCTCAGATGATTCACAACTATGTTGACAGCATTTCTCAGGACTTTTTTGCCAGCCTGGAGAATCTCCTGCAGCTGTGAGAATTACCTGCTGTACTCATGGGTGAGCATGAAGAGAACTTTCACTCCTAAATGCTCTGTGGTTAAAAGCCACAATGCTCTTTTTTGACCTTAGTGACAGGCAGGACTGAATAGCAGGAGCCCAAGCCACTCATTCAGAGTGAATAAATGCTGAATAAGCTGTTCTTAGAATTCCTGTTGTGCACACACCAGTGTTCCACTATCTCCTTGTATGTAAAATGTGCTCTACATCAAGCATGTACTGAACCTTTCTGCTGCCCTAATTCTACACACCCCTCTCATCCTCTGCTCCTCTGGATTCATGTCTTGCAAAACCTCTGGAAAAATCTCAAGCTTGTGCTCTCTGGACCCATCCCTCCTTCTCTCTCCTGGGGATCCTCAGTTCCCTAGCCTCCCTGAAGCCACCATGCCTTAAGCCTTGTCACACATATCTCTTGGATTCTTCTACATCCTTTTATCTTTCCTTTTCTTCCCCAGTGTCTTCCTGGGAATTTTGACCAGTCCAGCTCTCCCAGTTTAGTGCTTAAGTGAACTCCTGCTGCAGGTAAAAGCTAAAATCAACTGCAATTCAAATTATACTTCTGGAAGTATAATGTTTATATGGTTATTTATAAGCTGTCAACATGAACACGTGGTGATGATTTTCAGCAACTCACCACTGTTCTGAATTCTTGACAATGAAAGTAATTGGAGACTGCAGTGAAAGATTAAAGTGTAACCCCCCATTCCCATGGTTTTCTGTTTGAAGTTGCCTGCCCAGGTACAGAAGGATGTTTATTTTGGATAAAGCACTGCTGAGTTCCTCACCAGCCTCACAGAGAGCCCACATGATGAACTGGGGAGAGCTGCGTTCCTCAGGCTGTTTGAGCACACAGCACAGCCCGGATCTGTTGTAAGTACAGCAGTTATTGTGCAAAACCAACAAATGAACTGGATGATATGTGTGACCCTGTTGTCCAAGCAATGCTGAAATTTCTATTGCACCTTCACCCCACAGGCAAGCCAGCATCGTCAGGCTTTATGTTCTTCTAGGTGAAGCAAATCACTGGCCAAATTTTCCAAAGAAGTTTAAGTAATCAGCATTTACATATTTGATTTTACTCCCTCCTCCGTACAGAAGAAGAAAACAAATAAATATGAAATAAATAAAACTGGGGGAAAAAAAGCCCCCAAACAATAAAAAAACAAACCCAAACAAAAATTCCCCACACGACAAAACCAAACCGAACCCTTCTCTCTTCGCGTTAGTTCCTGGAATTTGCCGATGTTACAAGATCCTAGCGAGGTTTTGTAGGAGCCGACTTCTTGTAAAGCGTCTCTATTTCCTATTTCTCGGGAGTTGCGGGCTGACTGCTCCCGGCTCGGAGCCCCGCTCGGTACCGGCCAGCCCCGCGGCCATGCCCCTGGGGGCCGGCAGCGAGGGGAGAGAGGGGAAGGCGGGCAGCGGACACAGCGAAGGGAGCGAAGGGAACAGCCCCAGCGCGGCCGGGCGGCTCCGCGCCCCTCAGCCCCGCGCCCATGGGGGAGCGCGGCCGCTCCGCGGGCTGCGACACCCAAGGTGACGGCCGGGGGACACCGAGGGGATGCGGGGCGGGAGAGATCCAGGACGTGGGGAGCCGGGGATGCCGCCGCGGAGCCGCCGGGACTGGCAGGGAAGAAGAACCTCCTTTGGAACCCTGCGGGCACCTCGGCCCTGCCGCTGCCCGAGCAGCCGGGTACAGGGCGGTCTGTGCTTCCAGAGCCCTGGTTAATACTTCCAGAGCGTTCCAGGCGAACAAAATGAGACTAAAAAGCTGTGGCTGTAGGATAAGGATCATTTCTCAGCAGTTTCAGGTTCCAGAACCGACGGCTTTTCTTATTTCGCTTATCCACGCCGTGATTAGGCTCTTAGTGTCCACCGTCATTTTTCCCCATGTTTGCTTCTTTCTCTTTGGATCGCTTTACGTTTTGGATGATGTAACTGAAGTTTCAGTAACTCGGAGTTCTTGTTCGCTGATAAGCCTTGTGAAGATGAGTTAAATGTTCCTGCTCTCCACAGAGATCCACTTTTTTTTTTTCTTTTTTTTTTTTTTTTTTTTTTTTTTAAACAGCTTTGCGTGTCCTTGGCTTTACTCGCCTGTCAGCTGGTTCTTATTTGTTATTTTGGGGTTTGTTTTGGTTTTTGTTTTGTAATTCCGTTATTTTATTTTTTCAGGTCTATTCTCAAACATCTGGCTGTGGCGAGCTGTCGCTGGAGTCCTTACCGCTGCTGTCATTTTGATTTCATGTATTCATTTTGGTAAGTAAGGAATTTTAAAAGGAAATATAATTAGCAATTAAAAAAATGACCAAAGTTTGGGGTTCTATACTCAGAGGGTGCTGGGGCCCCCTGGCACGGGCTGCCCAGAGAAGCTGTGGCTGCCCCATCCCTGAAGTGTCCAAGGCCAGGTTGGATGGGGCTTGGAACAGCCTGGTCTGATGGAATCTGTGGCAGGGGGTGGAACAAAATGATCTTTGAACCAACCCAAGCCACTCTGTGATTCTGTGTGAATCTGTTATTTCTGTTTGAAATTGTGGGCCAGTGCAGGAACGACTCCACATGCTTCCGTGAGGTTAGGGAGGGCTCAGTTTAGTCTTAATTTACTTTTGGTATCAAGTTTGTCAGATCACCACTGGTCTTAATCCATGTTCAAGAAAACAAATAACAATATAAAGATTGTCCTACCAATCTGCAGTCCTTCAAAAACGACACTATAATAAAGTTATTAATTCAACTGTGAGGAAGCAACACATGAAAAAACTGGAGTTGTTGGAATTTTTAAGTTGTAGAAGAGTCCTTGGGTGATACTTTATGATCACCTTCTCAGCTACTTCTACCAACGTGTCCCTGACCATCCTTTTAAGGATATGTCAAGAGGCAGAAGGGTGCAGGATCCAGAATACATCATTAGTTTACAATAATTATTTCAGCTGGGCAGAAGTAACAATGATGTGGCTAGATTTGGATTGTTTTAGATGATGCAGCCAGAAAGCAAATCCTTTCCCAGCTGGAAGAAATGGGTAGATTGTTTTTTGTCTTTTCCCAGTAAAGCCTTCTCTGGCCAAAGAGTTTCCTGTGTGCCCTTCCCTGGATCTGTGTCCGTCAGGCTGGCTGTACTTCCAGAGGAAGTGTTACTACCTCTCAGAGAGTGAAGCTGCCTGGAACTTCAGCCAGAGCAGCTGCTCTTCCCACAATGCTTCCCTGCTGGTCATCGAAAATCATCAGGAGCTGGTAAGGGAACCAAGGGGGATCCTGTTTTCCCCCCAGTTCACTTCCAGGGAACTGCTTCTCCAGCCTCCTCAGCTGAACAGTTAGGAAGCTGATGCGAGACCACAGTGAGTCACAGCCTGCAGAAGGCTTTGTGGCTCTTTTCCCTGAAAATAGGAAACATCAGTTACACAGTTCATGGTTTAGAGACTGTCTGAATTAAATTTGGTGCTGCTCACAGCTATAAATAGTCATATTGAAGGCATTTATCCGGGTAAACACTGTTGCATCTCTATCTGTTTATCTTTAATTAAACAACTGGTTTCTCATATTGAGATAGGTTAATGACACAGAAGTTGGTAAATATGTTTATTGTGACCTTTGGAGTTAGGAGATAGTTACCCAAAGTGCATCTTGGAGCATTTTCTTCTCTCTTATACCACAGTATTAGGACAGATTCCACCCTGCACAGAGGCCTAGGAGAATCTATTCTGAATCTGTTCCAGACCTTGATAGCAGACCGTGATATTTTAGAATAGCCTCTCTCCAGGTCAGTCAACCCTATCCCAGTCACCAGTGTCTGTATATTTAGTTTTAATATTGTTTCTTCTGCAGGAAAGGCTAGATGGTTGTTTTGCTTTTGCCCTGGATCAAAGACTTTGTATTTTGATAACTGGACTGAACATGCAGAACTTCTTTTCTCATGTGGGTTTATTCCTACAGAGCTTTATGATCAAGATAACAAAGCAAGACCCATGGATTGGACTCTATAAAAGAAATGAAGAGTTCTTTTGGGTAAATGGAAAAGCATTAGACAATGAACTGTAAGTTGATGTGGAGGGGTTTTGCTGGTGATATTGAATTGTAGGGGAGTAAGAAAAATAAAACAGAAATAGTGACTTGTAGGAAATCTGTTATTATGTTGAAGGGATGATTATGGAGAGGGTTATGGAATGCAATGAAGATTTCACATGGCATTGTTAAAACTGTGGCAGAAGAAAGTTGGGGGATAAGTTTGTAATGTTGAGAAGCAATACCAGGCAGGCTCATGGTAACAGACATCAGAGAAAGTGAAACCAGGAGACAAAAAAAAGCAATGGGCAGAAGGGAATGGGGGGAGGAAGGGAAGGTTACAGTAACATGAATTCCTCATTATAGAATATACTTTGCAACAATACCAAGTTGCATGTAAGCTGTGCGAGGTTTATAGCAAAGAGATTTGGGAGACTGCTAAGACATGTTTTCATTTTTATAGAATGTTCCCCAGAAAGAGGCTGCTGGAGGGAAATGAAGATGTGAATTTATGTTGCATGAGCTGCTCTGTGGGCCTGGTGCTCTGTGCCACCAGTGCCAGGTGTGGGGCACTTTGTTCCTCTCCCTGGCAGCTGTCCCATCTCCTCAGAGGCTGCTGCAGCTCATCCTGGAGCAGCTGCTGGCAGGAGTTGGCAGAATTACCATTGATAGGCATAATCAATGAGATTTCACAAGTCTGAAATTACCTTAAAAAGTGGAAAATTTAAATACTTTTAAGTCTGTGACATTACTGGTGATTTGCTTCATCCCCAAGCCCTGAAGGCTTCATCTGACAAAGGATTTAATGTGAGATGTGAGGAGCACGTGGGCACCTCAAATTGAAAACTGCAGTCCTTCCCACTCTTTTATCCCCTGTCTGCAGTACAAACATCCACTGCTGCTTTCGTTTTCAGGGAGGTTCTTCCCATTCTTAGACTTCTGCCTCACCGCTTGCCTCAGACTGCCCCTCCTGAAAGGGAGGGCAAACACCTCGATATGCAAGCTCAGATCTTACTACACTGGTGGGGATTTATCCCTTGGCTTTTCCAGAGACCATTCCAGTGTGCTTGGACTATCCACAGAACTTTATAGCACTTTGTTTGAGAACAGAGTTGCTGAAGGAGTCCCTTACCTCCTATGTAGGGACACCTACACTGTGGAAACTGAGGTTTGCTTCTTGTTTCCCTCCACCCCCTTAACCATGGTGCCTGTTGGGTTCTGAGGAAGGGAGAAATTAAAGATGCATTTCCTTCACAGCTTCTGCTGGAACCTTTTCTCTGGATAGGAGGATGTGGAAGTGCAAGGTGGTGGTGCTCATCTTGATGGCACAACATCCCTAAGAAAGGCAAACATGAGTTTCACTCTCTGTTCTAAGGGTGTATTTCACATTAAGTAACCACTAAACAAGATGCAGGAGTACTACAAGTCCTGGATTTTTTTATTCTGGGAACAAGATACCATTAAGAAAATACAATCTCAATGGTGTTCTCTTCAAGGCACAAAACATAATCCTTCTGTGGTGCCTTGCCTGAGATAAATCAGGCTTTATTCAAAGAGAACCTGAGATGCCCATAGCTGCCTTTGTTCTATTGCAATATTTGATTCTGGGTGTCCTAGTAATCCTGTCTTCCCTTCTCCCTGACAGGTTTGAAGTAAAAGACTCTGGCAGCTGTGCCTATCTGGATTCCAAAGGAGTCTCAGCCTCGGGATGTTATTTAACCAGGAAATGGGTCTGTAGCTTGGATATCAACTCAGCACAATAAAGGTGGACAAAGCCACCACCCCTGACAGAGCTCTGATATGATGCCTACACGGGCTATTTCTACACTTTGGGACCTGGGAATGTGTCCCAGCTCCTACCTAGAGGTGAATGACTTTTCTGGTAGCCAGAATTCTCCACCCATGGAGGAAGGCTTTTAAAATACCATTTAAAAGGCTCTCTTCAGCATCCTGATATGTCATTTCCTTGCCCTATTTTTCCAGCTACTGCCCAGCTGTAGTTTCTTTTTGCTGTGCCATCAGTATTTCTTCCATTTACTCTTCTCTTGTAGGAACAGCTGCTCTTTCTTTCCCTTTTGGGTGTGCAGTTGGAGGTTTTTGTTCTGCTTTTCCTTTTGCCAGGCTCTGTGTGCATGGGTGTTAAAGTGTGGTCTGTCTGGAGGGCTGCCAGTGCATCATGGATACAGGGCAATGCAGAAGTGAACACTGTTGTTTTAGACAGGACCACAGGAAATTCCTCTCTTTCCATTTGATGGGATGTACCTTTCATTGTATTCCATGTTTTGTTCATGTTATGTTACATTAATTTTGTTAAATCCTGGTGATAATGCTGTCAAGCTGATTTATGTAGCTGCACTGCACCTGAAGTTATCCTCACAACACTTTCTTTAGCCAAAAAAAGTCACAGTAGATAAGAATACTCATTTACCTGAGCATCTGCACTGATGGGAGAGAGAAGAGCTGGAACTGGAAGAGTGATAGTGAAGCTGCAGGCATTAATGTGTAAATGTAGAAATAGTCCTCAGTGCAAGGAGGCAAAGTCAGCAGGAGGGAATGAGAGAATTAGCAGCAAGGGATGTTTTTCTGTGTTTTCCTCATGCTCTGTGCCTGTCATGGTGTGAGGCTTCTCAGCAAGAGGACATTTCCAGATGGACAGTCAGTGTTTGCTTGTGTAGGTGACATTTTCAGCAGCAGCTCCAGTGCTCTTGGATTGCTGGGACCCTGAACAGAATTAGGGCACAGTCCCTCTGATTGTCCGAGTCCCACATGTCTAGCAGGTTGTCCAAAGATTTAAAGTGTCATTTGACCCAGAGGAAGCAAATTTGTCTGGAAGGAATATAACTATCAAGCTTCTAGAGAAGGAAGAATGGGAAGTTCACTTTCATTATTTTCTGTGACAGAAGAACTTGACTGTAGCAGGACCATACAGATGGATGCTGTCAGCAACTTGTGCCTTTCGGATGTTTATTTGAATATAATCACTAATTTTGCTGGATTACACTTTTCTTAATTGCTTCTATTCTTTACAGACACAGTAACAGGACTCTACAGTATGAAAAGCCTGATTATTAATTTATATGTTGGGGGGAAGGTGTTATTCTGCAATGTTTTTAAATTAACCTGATTCTGAAGGATATGGTACGTGCACTAGTCCTGAAAAAATAGTTTACAGAGCCCCTGAATTACAGTGGTTTCTATCTTAATATTGGGATATTAAAAGTATTTTTCATCTCAGGCACCATTTTGGTGAAAAAAAATGAATCTGAAGCGAAGTAAAATATTCAGGTTTTGAACATGAAAAAATCTTTAATCATAATGTTGGGGCTGACATTAAACAGAATATTTGATCCAAAAAAGATTGTTTTGCCCTTTTTAATACCTCATAATGAGCCAGACTTTTAACAAAGGTTAAAAAATGAAAGCTCTTCTGGAATCTGACTCCTCAGGGATGCAATGAACTTCTTTGGTGATGTTCAGAAAAGAAGGTGCAAACTCTGCCAACTCGATTTACTCATAGTGGAGTTTGATGAAGTACTTCAATGGTAATTTCTTTTTTCTTTTAAATAAGTGACTTCTTAAATTGTAGGTAAGAACTTCAGTAAGGCCCTGCAAAAAGTTGTTTAGTTATATGAATAATAGCAAGAAGGTCCAAATCATAGATGTTTCATGAATACTGTTAAAACCTTAACACCACAACTAATTTGAGAGAAGCCAGCATGCAGGAGTTTGTTTTTCTTGTTAAGTTCAGCATGAATCAAGAAGGATCTGCCAGAAAAGCAGCAATTGTTAACTGCATGGAGAAGGGTGTGCTGTGAGTATCCTGAAGTGAAAATTTCTCAGCAGTCAGAAATTCTCTCTCTCTGTAAAGCATGTATTATATAGGTATAGATTATTATCTTACATATTTCAGACTCATTCCTTTTCTTTGTTTCTCTGTCTAGAATAAGCAAACCAGTCCTGTTCCTCCCACGTGCTGTGCTGAGTTTGGGGGATTTTTGTTGTTTCCTCTTACATAACAACAGTGTCTGACGGGTTTTGAGCTGCTGATGCTGCATTTTGCGTGGCAATTTTGTTGTTGTTGTTTGAAGGGAAGTCCCTGAGAGTACAGTTCACTTTTTAATCTGCAGCCCTAAAGTGCTGGACATTAACCCTCCCCAGACATGTGCAGGTGTGAAGAAACATCTCTGTGAAACTGCAGCTGCCTTTATTTGTGTGCATCATAGCAAAGATGAGGTAAAGGCTCACCATCTCAAAAGCCATGTTAGGCTTGTTTCTCTTTCTCATTGCCATAAGGACTCAAATTCCAGTTTAAGTGGAAAAGTTAAAGTGCCATTTTTGTTAGAGTAGCACCTTCAATTCATGACATTTTATTTTTGTCCAATATAGGAATCTAATAGAGGCACTAGGTCGGACTGCTCTTAGCAGCTTTGTGTTCTTGACCCAGAAATAGCATTTATTCAGACACTTCAATGCCTAAGCAATGCATTTACAGAGTGCACTCCCAGGCATTAATTTCACCAGTCTTTGGCACCTCATTATACCATAACTGTGGTTGGAATTTACAATGTAAAGGACAAAATATAGGTGGAGAGGAAGCTTATCAACTTTATTTGCTTGCACTGTCATGTTTGTCTTACAGCCCAAGTCCTTTCCCTAGTTAATCCCTTCTGATTCCAAGGCTCAGCACCAGAAGAGGATGGGAGTGACCAGCACATTAACCCCAAGTGTTACAAGTCACTCCATGTCTGGTCTGCTGTCTCCACCCAGTAGCTTTGCAGCAGCTTTGAAGAAGTCCAATAAATGCATTTTTTTTCCAGCTCTCAAGTGACTTCTGTGAGTCACCATTAGACCCCAAGGTAAAAAACCCACAAAACCCCAAGCCCACAAACTTCAGCAAACACTAAAATTCTGAAACCCAAATAAGAATCCTCAGCTCAGCAGCTGTCCTGTGGGCAGGGGTGACAGCAGAGGGCCCAGCACAGCCTTCATCCCCCACAGCGGCCATAATTCCTCTACATCACACTGTTTACATTCACAGTGCTCCTCCTCACGAGTGTCTCTTCTCCTCTGACCCTTCCTGAGGCAGCTGCTGCCAAAATCTCTCTGTGTGAAGGCTCAGCACCCCAAAGTCCTCATGTCCCAGCTTGCAGGCCTGTTGCAGGACCTGTCTTCTGACTTCTTAGGGAGCACAGCACAGCAAAGTGCAAATTTCCCTGCAAGTCTGATGAAAATTATTTACATCACAAGTTGGTTTGTCTGTAAAATGGGTCTTCTGAGGAGAAGCTGTGCCTGTTGTCTGGAAATGTGGCTCAGAGCACCAGCAAAGTTGCATTCTTCTTACAGATCCACTCCTTTAAGGTCTGGCAGTTATCTGCCTGGATCACATTTTTCCTTCTGTAAACAGCACAGTTCTTGTCAGCCCCGATGCTTTTTAGAGCTGTCCTGCTGAGAGACCAAAAGGAATGCAATGGGTTGCTGGGTTTAAACTCAGCACCGCTTACAAATCCTGGTGGTGCTCTGAGTGAGGGGGTGAGTGATGCCCACTTGACCACCCCCTTGAAGCACAGCAGCTGTGGGCTGGGCACCCCCAGCAGGGACTGCTGGCTTCTGAGGGATGGATGCTTGGCATTATCAGTGTTACCAGGATAAGGATCTTTCCCCATGCTGAAGAAAGCTGCACAGATCCCAGCCAATGCTAAGTGGTGACAGGCATCACCTTCAACAGAGGCAGGCAGCACATGGTCTGCAAAGGAGGAGAGTTTCTTGGCAGGGATTTCAGCAGAAGTGTGTCATAGTATCTCTGTATTAATAAATATATGAGCTGTGCCTGTGGTTGGTCCTGGAGGCAGAAATCAGTTCCCAAAAGTGCCCAGCAGGAACCTGTTGGCCTGGAACTGACCATGAAATAGACTCTGAATACATACCTGAGGCTGCAGGCTTAGATATGTGATTAGCTCAGATTCAGAGTTGTATTTCCAAGCAGGGATACCACACTTTGCTTTCCTCAAAGATATCCTCCCCCAAAAAATCATCACCTGTTTTCTTTTACTCTGTGATCTTCCACTGAACTCCACGTTTTCTCCACGTCTTTGGTGTCCGAGCCAATCCAGATATATTTGGTATCTTTGTCTTTGTTGTCTATAAATTCCTGTGGAATGATTACAAGAATGTTACCTGCTATGCTCCTGCCTCGTGCACAGCTTTTATTTCCTCTTGAAGAGCCAGGGCAGGGATGCAGCCATGGCAGAGCAGCCCCTTACATCAGCTCCCATACATGACCAGCCTCCTCTCTTCCCAGAGCCAAGCAGTGCAAAGCCCTCAGCATTTCCTCTTCCCACTCAAAACTACTCTGGCTTCCACACTTGGCACCTCTTGTGCTTCTCCTCTTCAGCTCTGCTCTGCTGACATTCCCAAACCCAGCTCCTGTGCAGGGAGACTCAGATCCTTTCCCAGATGGGGCCCTTGCCTGTCTACATGTACTCTTGACATCCAGGCTATTTTTTCTTGGAGAAATGTTTGGTTGAGGCCTGTCACACGCTTTTAGGGCTGCTGCAAGGCTCACCATCTCAATTTCATCCTCAATGACAAGCAGCTGGGATTTCCTGGCCAGGCAGTGTTTCTGGCTGTCCTCCCAGCTCCTGGCCTCCTCGGAGAAGAAGTAACATCTGCCCCTGTGCAGCTGCCACCCGGGGGGACACAGCTCACACGTCGTGCCTGGGGGTGGATAGGGGGAACATTTAGCTCCTGCAATAGATGGAATTCCTCCCCCTGTTTATAAACCTTTAACTGGAAAGTATTCTCCAGGACAAGAGGATATATGGCATTTCTGACAGCAGCTCCTGGCAGACAGAAATGTAATGAAAATACTGGAAACTTTATATCAACAGAGGAGCAAGACTACAGCGATTAAAATGTTAGTTCAGATTTTGTTATCACAGCTCTGCAGGAGCACCATGCTTCCTGAGTTCCTATAAACTGCAGTGTGTCAGAGAAATGGGAATAGAGACAACAGAACAGTCCTTTCTGTGCTGGAAAGGACTAACGTGCCTCACCCTGTCCATCTTCACACAGCTCCTCCTTGAGCTGTTTCAGGAGCGCTGCTGAGATTGTCCTCTCTGAAGAAATGTCACTGCTGGTGCTGTTCAGACCATACTGGGGCAAGCTTGCTGATTTTCCTGCTCTGCCCTTCAAAACTTGAACAGCCCAAAGTAAAAAAAAAAAAAAAAAAAAAAAGAAGAGAAAGAGGTCATGGTTAACAACAAGGATGAGGAAATGCAGTCTTTATACCCACAGCTGCACTGTGAATGTGAGGATGTCTCTGTGTACAGTGCCTGGTACAGACACAGTTATGAGCAAACTCAGTGAGTAAAGCACAGTTAGGAAAGCCCTCCTGGGAAGATGTTCATGGAATGGACTGGCTTTGAAAGACTTTAAAGATAATTTCACTCCAAAACCCTCCTGCCATGGGCAGGGACACCTTCCACTATCCCAGGTTGTTCAGAGCCCCATCTACTTCCAGGGATGGGGCAGCCACAGCTTCTCTGGGCAACATGTGCCAGGGCCTCACCACCCTCACATTGAAGAATTGCTTTCCAATATCCAAATCTAAACATCCTCTCTGTAAGTGAAGCCATTCCCCCTTGTCCTGTCACTCCAGGCCCCTGTCAACAGACTCTCATTTCCTGTATTTGTGCACGAGTTGACACCTTTCAGTGCAACACTGAGGGAATTTTTCTCTCAGCTCCTTCAGAGGTTTAACCACATCTACAATGAAGGGGTGAAGCAGGAGGTGGGATCTACTCACACTGCTTGGCTTGTATGGCCACGACTCCCAGGAGGATGAGCACGAGGACTGCCAGGACCAGCGCCACGTAGAACCAGGCTGAGCACCTGTGCTGGCAGCCTGCAGGGAGGCAGGAGGAAGAGCAGCTTAAGGTGCTGGCACTCTTAAACTTACCACTGGGGAAACAACAGAGAAATCATCTGCCTAAAATCAGTCTGCTGTCAGGAGGATGCAGTGGTATTTTACTTATTAAAAATCTGCATCCATTTTGCATCCATGGAAATGGAATCAAAATGTTTGGTCACAGAGCAAGTGATTTGTCAACCACTAAGAATTTGCCCTTTTCTCTTTTGACTTATTTTTCTCAAGCATTGCCTCCTCTCACCTACCCACACACCCTGCAGGACCTTGCAGAGCAATTCAGGGTAAGTATCAAGGATGGCCTGAGGCGTCAGGGATGGGCTGTGGGGTGTTCCTCCTCCTGCAGCACAAAGATAACTTCCCTAAAGGCACAGGAAGAAAAGCCCCATACTGACACCCCCTGGCACAGCACGGGGAAGCGCATCAAACCAAGCATCCCTCCAGCTGTTTGCCATTCAGCCTGTGTCAGAGGGAAGCACTCAGGAAGCTGCAGAACCCAAGGAAATTTGGGATTAAGGGGCCAGTTGCACGAGGCACAGATTTGCACTGCCATAACCTCTGATTCCCTGACCTTGTCTGTGTGAGATGAGCAACTGCTCCATCCTCTGGCTGCCTGACCTGTCTGGTGTGATGTTCCCTTTGCCTGGCAGGCAGCTCCTTCAGTACAGGGAGGGTGACAATCACCAGACACTAATGGCACGTGGAGACCTGGGCATTACCCTGCTTCCAAAGCCAAATGCATCCCTGGGACTCTTCCCCCCATGAGGGTTCTAAAAAAACCATGGAATTTTACTTTGCTTTACTACATTTCCCATGCAGGGCACAAAGGCATTTTTAGAAATTATTTAAAAAAACATCTCTCAGTATTATTTTTGAAAGGAAAAGTGTAAAATCTGAGAAGCCAGGAAGAAAAGCAGCAGAGGAAATGATAAATCAGCCCTTCATTGAGAGGGTGTACGTAAAGGCTCTTGCTAACAGCTTTCACTGGTGGGCAATAGGAAAAACTACATCTAGAATTAGTCACCAAACAAAATTGCACAGTACCAGGAGTGGAAGTCTCTGCTCTGCTGTTCCCTTGGGGCTGGGGCTTCACATGCAGCTCGGCGTATGTGATGGTGTTTCCTGTAAGCAGAGGGCAACGCTGACATTTGTGCCTGTGCCAGTCACCAAGTGCAGGAATAATAAAGGTGGAGCCTCTGTGAGAAGTGGGGCTGTGTTTCCAGGGCTGCTTGTTCAGCATTTTCCTTTTCCTAGGCAACGGCGGGCAAGATGATGATTTACCGCTTCCTCCTGCTGTCAGCAGCCAGAGGAGATGATGATTTACCACCTCCTCCATAAGCTTTGAACTGTTGGGTGCTGTGTGGCTGGAGCAGGAGCCAGGCAAACAGGCTGAAGGATGAGAAGGAGCTGGATCCTATCCATGGCAAGCATCCCAGCTGTTGCTAAGCCATCTCAGGAGGTACCACAGGGGCTGGAGGGGCACCAGACCGCGACTGCTTTGTGGGGCAGAGATGTGCCAGATGAAAACCAGCACTCAGAGAGATGCTGCTGCAGCAAGGTAATTCCTGAGGGCATTCCTGACTTGTGAGTGCTTATCCCAGGATATTTCAGGTGCTGCCTGTAGTGACAGATGAATGGATCTGCTGGTTGAAGACATGCTTTTCCAAAAGCCGAAACAAAACTAAAAATGGCATTAAAATATCACTGTGTGGGTTCAAGGCACGTGGATTCTTTCTGAAGATGTTTTCAATATCATTTACCTGGGTATTTTGCAGAGCAACTGGTTAGTGTTATGGAAGGTATTTGGACCTTTGGGACACTGCTTTTGGCTTCATAAATGGAGGGATTTTTATCCATTTGTGTCAAGAATAAGCTTCTGTGCCACCACCCTAGTTTGTGATCACTGGGGCTTTTAAAAAGAAGTGTTGTATTAAATTTCACTGATCAGGCAAAAAACTTGGCAGAAGAAGATAGTTTCATTAGGTTAAAATGAGCCAGCATTTCATATGAGACTTTCTCAAGTGTGGAGAGGTTTTACAGTAAAAAAAAAAACACTGAGAACCTGATTGGCAAATAAGGTTATTCATATCGGGGAGACAGTCTATGCTTTAGAGAATCTGACCCAATTCTGACCTTGATTGTTTGCTTTCTTTCAATTTATTAGTTCAATGAACTACAGAAAATTTTTAAATTAAATGTAATTGTTCTCAAATCAAATGCCCTAAAAGTTTTTCTTCTTAGAATGTAAATAATTTTCCAAAAACACTCAGGACTTCTAAATGCACTAAACCTGTGAATGGAGGTACTTCTAAAATAAGTGTTTTAGACATTCTGCTACTATTAGTAAATACCTTGTCTCTCAAATGCACATTTATTCCTTCAAAGAATATCTCTAAGTCTATAAGAAAAACACTCATCCATGCAAGCTGAATATTGAACCAAAATCATTCCTTCTATTACAGTGTGTATGGGCTGGTATGATTATTTGAATGCAAAGTCCTCAGAAGTCAGCAGGGAGTTTTAAAACACAACATCACTTTAATTCTGCCAGATGCTTCCACACCCTCACCTAATTCAACAACAAGGTGGAGATCTCCGCTAGCCACTAAAAATAAAAATTCACTTCTCTGTGCTTGTTGTCAGGTGCAGAAAAACATCTCTGTTTATTGGTGGACATTATTAGAGGCTCCAGGTGGACCTGGTCAATACCCAGAGCAGCCCAGGAGGTAAAGGAGGGGAACAAGAAGTTCAGGGCACAAGCAATAGCAGGCTGCAATTGCTTGTGGGTTAGTTTGGTGATAGACTTGAACTCTCCTTGGTTTGTTCTTCTCCCAAGGAAAGTTCTGTGTAGCCACTCAGGATTCATAATTGGGCAACTCTCAAATTATCCATGAGGGAACCAGGACACAAAAACTGCTGGAGTCTTTAGCTGGGAAATGGATTCCCACGTGTGTTTAGCCTTGCTGGGATTTGGGAACACTTTTCTACTTTTGAACACTTGGTTTGAAGCACATGCACAGTATCAGCACCTGCACCTAGCAAAGCCTGTGCACAGATAGAGCCATTGCTAAGTCCTCCTCAGCACACTCTGCCAGAGCAGCAAAGAATCCCCAAATTTCTCCTCATTTTCCAGAGCACCTGAGTGGCAGCTGAAGTCCAGCTGTAAATCCAAGCCAAATCAAACCAAATGTATTCGAGAATAATCGGACATAAGAGTGGGGAAGGTGAGACTGGGAGCTGTAAACAGTGAAGAGAAGATTAGTTCAGAGATTTTGTCTCTGTATATTTGAGATAGAATTACTAAGACTTGTAGAAATACTGGGTGGATCTCTGGTGCCTGTTTTTAAAGGAGATGGAAGCACTGGAGTATGAAAAGAACATCCACAAAAATTATTAGCATTTTTGAGAAGTTAAATGTTTGAAGGGAAAAGGGCATTGAGAAGTCACTTAATTATCATGGCCAGTAACTCATGTGAGAAAATATAAAGAGTTAAAATCAGTTCAACAAAAGTTTACTAAGAGCCATCCACGTGTTAATGGTAAATTTCATTGGAACTGACCTGTCCAAAACTGAGCTTTTCCTTTAGGGAGCATGATCAATGAATGGTTTTGGATGTCTTCTAATCAAGCTTTGATCTCTATCTCCCTTCACAAATAAGTTTTATCACTTTTGATACTGGGTAAAATTCCAGGCAGGCCCTCTTTTTGTTGCACAGGTCACAGCAATGCAAACAACATCCATAGGTGCATGAACACAGAGTCTAAGGTAGTCTTTCTGCCATATATGTAATAAAGTGAACTAATTTTTATCTTTTGGATACCAATCTTGTAAAGATATACAAAAGGTATTCTTTTCTGTCATTTAAGTGCATGTATTCAGAGCACCATAATCACTATTAATCTCCACTGTAAGTAGAACATCTAAAAATGCTTATTACACAATGTTGTTTCCTTAAGGGATTAAATACAATAATTATTAATGAAAGTATGAAAACATCCTTAGTCTGATGCCACAAGCATTTCCTATTTGCTCATAAGCTGTCATTAATATTAGTTGTCATCCTGAATTTTGTCCAAATGCTTTCATGAATGAATTACATTTTTTTCCCCCAAGTAGTAGAAATGTCATTTCTTCAGAAAATTTACCCTGAATACTGGCCTAATCCTTTGGGGTTTTTTTACAAAAATATGAAGTGATCACAGATTGATAATTTGGTTCTGGAAAACCACCACTGGAATATTAAAGAGAAAGAGCAGGAAGTTTTTAGGGGACATTCAGTACTTCAGTGACAGTGGCTGCACTTTCCTGATTTACTAGGTGATTTACTGCTCCTTTTCCATGAAGATAAACATTGATCTGATTTGTGGCCTAGATAGTAAATCAGTGGAGCATTGTCTTGGTCATGTTACTCATTTAAAAAGAAATATTATGCTCATTACTCAACCAATGAACACTTTTGCTTTCCCATTCTGTTGCTTAAAGCCTGGAACCAGGTGGTTCCAACTTCTTGCCCTTCCCATGCAGCATCTTATGGCATTCTTCTAGATTTCCCAAATTTAAAATGTGTGAGAGAGAAAGAGAGAAGAGCTCAAGACAGCAGAAAGTGTGTGCCCAAGAGGTTTTACCTGGGTTTGATGTCCCTGAAGGAGAGTGTGGTCTTTCCCTCGGCAGCACTGCCACGGCCGCGTAGGTGACATCCCCTGCCATCCGTGAGCCTGTCCCTCAGAGCTGTGGAAAAAGCAGTTTTAACTCACTCATTTGCATCCTGTCTCAATTTTGCCTGCCTCCAAAACACTCGCACGCTCTGAGGAAGGCTGACAAACACAAAAGGAGGAAGTCACTGAGTTACTTCTTTCAGTGCAGCTTCAAAGCCTCTTTTCAGTCACCATTCTGTCTCTTCTTGCCCTTCAGAATACAGGAGTAAATGAAGATTAAAACCCATCATTTTCACTGATATATGAGAAAAAAAAATCACGTTGGTCAAAGCAGAGGGAATTCTCTAAGGAATGCCCAGAAATGGGCTTACACAAGTATGAAAAGTTTGCTGGTTCTCAGGAGAAGAGAGTACAAATTTTGTGCTGTGGCTGTTTTGTGCTCCTATGCATCTTACACAGCCTCTTCACCTGAAAGAAAGATAAACAAGAAGTACATGTAGCAGCATAAGATGGCTTGGGGTTAATGTACTGAAACCACTCAGCTTCAAAAATGTAACTCAGAGTCTAACCTGCTCCACACACAAAGTAGTTGTTTAACAGCTGAATTTAGGTGATACTGATGATGTATTAACATGAACTCAAAAAAAATTAAAAAAAAACATTATCAATGCCTTTTACAAGAATGTTTCCATACTTTACTGTACCAGTAGTTACAAGGAGCTGCTGTTCCTACATTGCTGGAATGATTTCCTGCTTGAGCCAACAACTCCACAGATGGAAAACCTGAGCTGCCTTTATTACCTTAAACTCCTTTTTCATTACCCACGTGTTTGCTGCAGGATATTTTGATGACAGTGTTTTTGTCCTCTATTTCAGCTCACGGGGAAGCCTCACAAATTTTAATTCAAGCACGAACACCTTCTAAAACCTAAAAATACATTTAAACACTCAGACATGGAGCCTTCTGCATGACATCCTGCTCTTGGTTTTGTACCTTATTCCCACTTAGAAAATTCCTTCCAAGTTCAACACAGAAAAGGTCTGCAAACCTACCTGGGTCTGTTGAAAATAACGTTTGTACAGGCTGTTTGCAGGGGTTTGTTACATTCAAAGGGACCTGAAAAAACCAAAGGTTGGGGCTGTAATCTTCTATTACTGATTTTCCCCTTGTGATGTTAAACACTAGTAATGGTGTTAAGTGCACAAACAAAAAGGTGTTGGGTGGGGTGGGGGGAAGAAGAACCTTTGATAGTCATGGAACAGATTAGTCAGAAGTGCTGCCTGAGTATGATTTATAAGCAATGTAAATCATGATGGGTTTATTATCTGATAATAGACGATAAATCGATACCGTGAGCTGCAGCCTGATAAGGTTTGTTTCACAGACACCTACATAGCAGCCACACCACCAGGCCTCACACGAAACAGAACTTTGTCCTCTGAATCAGTTTCCCCCTGAACTTCTCAGCATTCTTTACAGCAGGATAGTTAGTCTCTGAAATGGAAAAAAAAAGATTATGAAAACCCAACTTGAACCAAACCAAATTGCCTTATTTGGGTTTTTTTCTGAAACTTTAGTCCATAAAGGAGAGTCAGAAGGTGGGTTGTTTGAATTCTCAGTCTCTTTCCATCACTGCACACACGCTTCAGCAGTCTTTTCTCACATGATTTCCTCCTAAACCAGAGGTAACCATGTGCAGTCTTGAGGCTGTTCCCTCTTGTCCTGTCCCTTGTTCCCTGAGAGCAGAGCCTGACATTCCCTGGCTGCCCCTCCTGTCAGGGACTGTGCAGAGCCAGAAGGTCCCTCCTGAGTCTCTTTTCCTCCAGGCTGAGCTCCCCCAGCTCCCTCAGCTGCCTCTTCACAAGCTGTAATCTGGGTTAAGTTGAATTTATTGCATGAATCACCCTCACCTTGTGTCTTTTGGGTTCTCCAGATCGAGCCTTGCCTCAGTGTCTTTTTTCCTCACGGGAAATGAATCTGGATTAATATCCAGACCTTACAGAACCCTGTGAGGCCCCTAAAATACCAGGGGCTGTGTATCAAACATCCATATGTCTGGGGAGGGGGAGTGGTGGTTTAGCCTTGAATTTTCAGACTTTTTGGCAGAACATGGAGCTATCTGAGGGTCCAGACTCTCTTGCAGTACCTGCAAGGAAAGCTTGTGGGATTTTTGTGTAGGATTTCTCTGCACATCATGTAGAGCTTGACAGCCTGGAGCTTCGGGGGCTCTGTGGGAGTAGGCAAAGGGATGTGAGCTCATGTCATTCCCCATCCTGACGTGCTCCTGGGTGCACACAGACTCCCCCTTCCCAACTGCCAAGCCTGAGTGATGTCACTGGGTGATGTTCTGGTGGCACCACAGTTACCAGCTCCAGCTATGCACAGAACTAACACGGTGACAACTGCAGATGCCACCTCTTCTTGTGGGTGTGACAGCATCACCTTCACTGCGTGTGGAGGCAAAGGCAGACTGAAAACAGCCACGTGGGCTGCAAAGCAGAATCCAGCAAAGCAGAATTCAGCCCCTCTTGCCACAGAACAGGCAGCTCAGCCCAGGACTCCAGCTGCCTCGTAATGCACATTTGAAAGACTGCTGGTCTGACAATAAAATGCAGATCCCAAAGGCTGAGCTGCAACACAGAGGCTTCCAGGCTAAACTGGGGGAGTCCCATGGGTAAATGTCCAGTTTAGGTTTCAATTCTAAGCCTCTGCTGTGTCACAGCAGAGCCTGTTTGTATGATGAGGTGCAAAAGCAGCACCCAGAAGGCATGATCAGAGCTAGGGCTGAAACAAAGGCACCTATTGCCACAATGGAATGTCTGTGCATGGTTATCCCACACTGCAGCAGGAAAAAAGATCTCATTTAAACTTTTAAACTCACAGGCTGAAATTTATTGATCTATTTCGTTAGTCCTTCCCTGCTGTGCTCTATTCCACCATACAGACATGGCCTGCCTTGCTTCAGGTCTAGTAGAGCTCCTGTCTCTTACCCTCATGGCTGAAAAAGTCTGGGTTTGGGTATCATTTCACCTGTGGGTTTGAGAGCACTTAGCAAAGAAGGGCATCAATTCCAGGCTGCAGTTGGAAGAGCAAAAATAGAAGGACTTGCCTGAGCCCACCAGCAGGCATGGGGCAGGGGCTAGAAGTACTTTTGGCCCTCAGCACAACACCCTTTTCTGAAGGTGTGCTGGTTTGGGTTGGGACAGAGCTAATTTCATTCACCACCATGGATTCCCCACCATGGATTTGTGCTGGGAGCAGTGTGGAGAGCAGCTTTCAGTAACTCAGGGGTGTTTTAGCTATTGCTGAGCACTGATTACACAGCATCTTTTCTGCTTCTCACCCCACCCTAGCAGCCAGTGGGCTGCACAGGAGTTGGGAGGGGGGACACAGCTGGGACAGCTGACCCCAATTGACCAAAGGGACTTCCCACATGGCATCATGATCAGTATCTAAAGCTGGGGAAAGTGGAGCAGGGGGGATGTTTTGAGTGCTGGTGTTTCCCAAGTCACAGTTACTTGTGATGGAGCTCTGCCCATGGGAAGCTGTGAGTTAAATCCTTCTTTTGGTTTTTCCTTAAGTGTGCAGCTTTTGCTTTATCTATTTGAGTGTTATCTCAGCCCAAAAGCTTTCTCACTTTTAATTTTCTGTTTCTCCTCCCCATCCCCCAGGTGTGAGGCATAGAGTGTTTCTGTGGGGCTGAGATGCTGATGGGGTTAACCATGGCAGCAGGCCAGGCTGATTGCTGATACCTCATGCATTTGTGGGTTGTTGCTTCAAAAACTGTAAAACCTAGATCCAGATTCATCATTTCCCTTCTTTGCATGTATTCCAGAGCTCTTTCTGGAAATACATACCCATGTAGAGTTAGAAATCCCTTAGCTGTTAATGCATTTATTTCATGTGAAAGTGCTTTTGGGTAAAAAATTTCTGTCTGCTTGTGAAATCGGAAGCAAAGCTGTTGTAAAAGCAGGACAATCTATAAATTCTGTAGATTGAATGGCCAAATGGTGCTTGCAAGCACACACAGCTTACAATTCTTCCAGAAGTTATTGGAATTAATACGGAATAGCAGGAATTAAGAACAAAGAGCACTTCCTTCCACAGAACTTCCAGTGCTCTCTAGCCTTATTTCTTTATAAGTATATGACAACTTTAAGTTTTTCTCCAGGAGGCAGAAATGCAACTATGAATGAATTTTTTTTTGATAATTTCAAGATTCAAAAACTCTTATCACATTAGCCTCAGAACAGGTTAGTATAACAATACATATGATACAGCCCCTAAATTGTGATGTTTACATTGGAGGGGGGTTAAATTTAAGAGAAGTCTGAGGTGTAAGAATCCAGCTTGAGCAAAAAAGACTCAAAGTGAGCACTAAGATCATCTATTACTTGGATCTTGGATGGAATTAACACACTGGAATCAGTCCAGCCTGTAATATTTACTCCCAGTGAACTGCAGCAGTGGAACTGGAGTAGGAAGCCAAGTGGGAAGCAGGGTGCTAACAGGAGCGCCCAGTGCTGTGTGGATCTTGAATATGGAAAGACAAGGAGGTAGAAAGAAGATCAGTACAGAAGAAGAAGAAATCCTTTTCAATCCTAAATTTATATCACCACTGAGAGGTTTCAGTAAAGAATCCCAGGATGGGTCAGGCTGAAAGGGACCACAGAGAGTCATCTGCTCCCACCTCCCTGCTCCAGCAGGGTGATCCTAAGGATTGTGGATTGTGTCCAGACTGGAATATCCTGTGAGGAAACTCCACAGCATCTCTGGTCTCTGTAGCAGGGCTCAGTCAGTGCACATGACAGAAGTTCTGCCTCCTGCCCAGGTGGAACCTCCTGGGCTCAGTCCCTGCCCGTGGCTCTGGTGCCCTGCTGTGCTGAGTAATTGATGTTGGCTCTTGATTTCTCTTCTGGTAAAAACTGTTCTTACATATATGTCCAGCTGGTATTGCTCACGAACTGAACAACAGTGTGGGAATCCAGGGCTTCCCTCTGGCTGCCCTGGCAGGTCTGGGACCCTGGCAGGGGTCAGGAACCCCCCTGGACAGAGCCCCCAGAGACACTGTCTGTGATCTCTGTCCATGGAAAAGAGTTTTCAATCTTACAGGATGAATTACAAGCTCTGAGCATTTGATATGAGTAATAATTACGTGTGGCACCAGTGCAAAAGTAAAATTTTAGGATTCTAGATTAGGGGTTCAAAGGGGACAAGATGGAGGAAATTGGGTGTGTCTTGTCCTTTTTCTCCTTCTTCATGCCCTCCATGTTTCACTGTAGTGTTGGCATTTTTCTGTTGGTTTAGTTTGGGGACAAATTGTTCAACATAGATAATAGATATTAGCACATTATTATAAATACAGCACAGGTAGTTTCTGGTATTTAATGTTTGTAACATCCCACTGAGGGCAGAGCCCCACACGCTGCCCTGCAGGACAGAGCTGTGGCAGGGCAGCAGAACATGTTAGAGATAAGCAAAAATAAACAACCTTAAAAACAGCACAGATAAATTATGGCTTCTTCTTTAGCAACGGGGCAAAAAACCAGAGACTTTTTACAATCTCAGAATCATCAATACCTGCAGATTCCGACACATCAGAGCTAATTAACTGTTTGAAAACTGGACATCTAAGTTCTCTGAGGGTTGGGATTTTATGATGTGAGAGGATCTT